ACGACGATTTAATTGTACAACACAAAAATCAAAAGTACGTTTGTGTAAAGTGCGGATTCGAGACGCATTTTTTGCTTAAATGTTTATGTCACATTCGAGAGTGTCAACAGTCTAAAGACCAACCAAATTTGAAAAGGAATATTAACGCACGACATGTAGACGACCTTGACGCCAAATGGTACAAATGTAAACAGTGCTCGTTTAGATGTAAACGCAACTCATCTTTGTTGGGACACGTGAACCTCTGTCATTTTGACGAAGAGAATGACGAGTGGAACGAATGCCAACAGGGTCCGGACAGGACTAGAGATTGTTCGAACTTAAGGAGTGACGTGAGAAGCCAGCATTCGGATGGGAAAAGTATCACGTGGTATCAGTGCAACGAGTGTCCAGTTAAAACAAGAGACAAGAGGGTTTTGCAGAAACACGTGAAAGCACGACATTCCAACGGACACAGAGGCATTAAATGCTACAATTGTGAAAAATGCCAATTCAAAACCAAATACCGGCACGTTTTAAATAGACACATGAATGCGCGGCATTTGGACGAAAGCGAAATAGAGTGGCACCACTGCACTCAGTGTCCTTTCAAAAGCAAAAACAAAGGCAGTTTGAAAAAACACATTAACGCACGGCATCTGGACGACCAAGACGCGAAGTGGTATGAATGTAAACAGTGCTCATTTAGATGTAAACAGTACGACTCCTTGATGAGACATGTGAACGCCTGTCATTTAGACGAAAAGGACGGCAAGTGGTATGAATGTAAACAGTGTCCATACAAGACTAGAGCATGTTCGTCGCTAACGAAACACGTGAAATCCCACCATGACATAAAATGGTATCATTGTGAAAAGTGCCAATACAAAGCCAAACACCTCTACTGTTTAAAGAAACATATAAATCGGCGGCATTTAGACATGAATGAAATCAAGTGGCACCACTGCAGTGAGTGTCCTTACAAGTGTAAAGAGAAATGGCATCTGAAAGACCATATTAACGCACGGCATCTGAGCGACCAGGACGCGAAATGGTACGAATGCACATATTGTACACACAAAACTAAGAATAGTTCGAATTTAAAACACCACATAAAAAGGTACCACTTGAAAGCGAAAATTGACCATTTAATAGCAGACAAAAATCGAGTTTGACACCACATATGAAGTGTAAATAAAGTGTATGCAGACTTTTAGACTTTTTTCATTTCCCCAGTCGTCGCCCGCAAAATCGGTTTCAGTGTGAAGAATTATTTTTTGTAACTATGCAACCCAACCGGTAAACAACACCAGATAAGCTTATTTATTTTCAAATGAAGGGTACAGGGAAATAACCATCGAAATCCATTTGTATGTATTTTGAAAGAAATTGAGTTGAAAGTTTAAAATGCTGCGGAAAATAGATTGAGAAACCCAGAAGGTTCAGCCTAACACAACTTTTTATTTTCTTTATAATGTTTTAAAAATATATAAAATAAACTGTTTATGTTCAAATATAACAGCAAAAAAAATTGATGGAAAGTTGTTTCGACAGAACTTCCCTCGCACCTAAAATACAATGAAACATATCCAGCATTTTCGAGTTAAATTTTTACTTTAGGTACACAATTTTGTGATGAAATCATCAACATTTTGCAAGGACACGTAAATCAATGTGGATTAGACTAAAATTAACAGTATTCCCAAAATTTCTGGGAAAATGGAGTGAGTCGAGACTGATTTAATCAATAGAATAAATTGACTCATTCATTAATTTTTTTGAGCCACCTAGGTGTATAAGCAAATCTAAAAAAATATGAATGCAATGATAAATTACAAGTAAAAACTCATCATATTTTGCACATTTTTGGTAGAATTTATTCGGCAAAATTTTGAGATGACGTTATCAATTTTTTAGTAGCATAATCCTGAACTTGTGGTTTATAAATACATTATTGAGATTTTTCGGCTTTTGACGTTTCAATTTTTCAGTATTTTAATTTTTGACATTTTCAATTTTTCCATTCTTCAAATTTTCGATTTCTCCATTTTTTATTTTTCGATTTCTCAATTGTCCGATGTTTCACTGATACGATTTCGCAAATTTCAACTTTTCGATATTTTAATTTTTCAATTTTTAAAATTCTAGATCTTTCGATTTCCCGAGTTTTCAGTTCTTCTATGCATATTTCAGTTTTTCAATTTTCGGAATTCATTAAATTTCTGATTTTCCATTTTTTTTATTTTTCGATTTTCCAGTTTTTCGATGTTTCGATTTTTCAATTATACGATTGTTCAATTTCTCGATTTCTAAATTTTAGGTTTTCCAATTTTAATTTTTTTTTATTTTTTCATGTTTGGACTATTTATTATTGCTAAAAATAAAAGTTAAAAATAACTACCAAAATTGTGACTAAAAATATATAAAAATTAATAGAAAATAGAACACATTGCTGCTAAAACATAAAAATAACTGTACTTTCCCAAAAAAATCTATTGCATGATTACTGTTCCACTAGTGTTGCTAATTTAGGACATTAGTATCAAACGCAACGAAAGTATTAATTCTTAGTTAAACAAAAAAATAGTTGAGTGTCAAAATCGAGTGAAACATGTGAGACGTGTGTAAACAAAAGCATCTAAATAATAACTATTTCCCGCAGAATTTCTGGAGGTTTATAGAGTCGACATTGGCCTGAGCGCGCTCCGGTCTGTGGATCATACAAGTTCTCGGGCGACGATGTATCTAACGACGCAGTTGAAATACCTGATATGTCACAGCGCAAAAAGTATTTCTCAAAAAACTTTCAAACGTTGATGTCTTTTTAATCGAACAAAACACAATTGGCGAACGCAATAATCCAGAATGGTGCGCAGAAAAATCCTTTAGACTAACCGAACGTTATTTTGGTAAAATTTGCAAAATGAGAGAACAAGTAACACGGCTAATCCTACTGTACTGTGAAAAACATATTACATCCCTGCAAATCTAGTTCAGCATGTACTCTCCTAAAATCTTTGCATAGAAAATGAAGCAAGGGCAACTGAAGCATTTTGCAGTAACACCAAACTGACAATAAGACAATGCGGTTTGTACATTTTTAGCATCATCGCCAGACGGCTTAATAAACAAAAATGCTATCGTAGAAATATATAAAATGTCCAATTTAAATAATTCTTAATTCAACGAGATGATAAATTTTGGGAAAATAATATGATAGAGCCCTAGAAAAATTTTATTTATATGCCTTACTTCCGGAGAGAGTAGATTCTCGTTATTAAACAACTCAACCCATTAGACAAATTGTAAAGAAAATATTGTACAATTAAAATTTTTTATTTGCATTCGCGTCATGTGTAGTTCATATAAATCTTTTTCCCTTTTAGTATAAACACACACAGGAATAAATAGTAATATTGGAATAGGTTTATTGGAGATATCACGTAAAAAACGTGCCTAAAATTCTCTACCTCATAGGTGGTGCGGAAAAAAGTATGAAAAAATTAAATTTAAATAAATATGATTGTTCAGGTAAACAAGTGGTTACTGAAGTGATGAGAATCTAAATCTTGTCAGTTTTGTGTATTGATTAATATATAAAATGACAGATTAATAAAAAATATTTGAATAATTTTTTCAAAGAAAATATTTTAGTAGAATATATAAAATTATAAAAATTTGCATACTTTTAAATCAAATTATGCCAGCAATGAAAGAAGTCGACTTGTAAAAGAGTTTCAACAATGTTGGTCAGCTAAGAGTATTTATGAGTTTTATGACCTAAAGTACCTGGACTGATTACCTGAAAGGGTAGGTCGGCAAGGCTCCCTGCGTTGTAAAACTCAGCCATTTATTGAAACGAAAACTTTGTAAATAGGGTTGCCTAGTTTCACTTTATTTTCATTAGTCAGTAATTTTTAAAAAGCAAATATTTTGATAAATATAAATTTTAAACAAAAATGACCGGGTCTTTCCCATAGAGCTCAATGTTGTCTTTGCACTGATATAAAAGTTGAAGCGAAAAATGCTCTCTCCTCGTCTAAAAATGCAAATTCCTTCGAAGAACGAACGATTAATTAAACACCAAACAATCATTTATTTTAAAAAATATTGTGTCTTCCCCAGAGATTTAGACATAATCTATCAATTGAAATATCGATCTTTTTTTCAAAGTTGAAATTACGCCCGTAAAATGAAAATCTATTTAGCTCATTTTTCGGTCTGCTACTGGGCACCCTTAAGCTCAAGATATTGTAATCGACTTTATAGGAAAAATGACTATTTTAATTATTAACGAAAAACATTGTAGTCACTGCCAGAGTTGCGGAAATTAGCTTCATAGAACAAAAGTTTGAATTATTTGTAAAAGAACCTAATGATGATCCAGTATTAAATAAAATCATTGAATTTTGTAAAAATCACTGGTCAGGGAGAACTGAAACATTTTCTTAATTAAAAAAAAATCATGTTTATTTGGAAAATCAGTCTTTATATTATGAAAACTGGTTAAATGTACTAAAAATTTAAGAAAATTAATCTTACTAAATTGTTTACATGAACAAAACTAAATGCAAAAGCAACAATACATTGGCCAGGAATAATGAGTAACATAGAACATAGGCAAATTTTACAATCGTGGACTTGTACCAGACAGTGCTTTTTGGGGTCGTGACGGATTAAATTGATTTGATTAGCGGTATGTATAGTGTGTTGCATACATTCTGAGTTTTTGAGGTTATGTTTAATTTTCATTTCCTTAAAAATTTAAAGAAACTAATCTGATATATCCACTCTTTGGCAACAACTAATTACCGATTAAATGAAAAAAAATGGCTGTGTATACTTTAATTGAAATTTTCAACAAACGCTTTCTCGTAAATTAATTGCGTGTATTGAGTGTTGCATATATCGCTGCTGAATTTTTGTGGTTATGTTGACGATCATGTTGTCCGAAAATCTGGAAAAATAAACTTAATTTTTCTGTTTTTAGCAACAAATAATCACAAATCGAGTGAACCAAAATGTTTGTGCAGTGTTTCAACTGCGAAACCTCCTACATCAAACCTTATCATTGCAACCACTGCAAGTTCCAAACACAATTAAGAGTCCTCTTGAAACAACACTTCAAAGAACGCCATGTCATCAGCAGAAAAACCAAACAACCGAAAACCGTAATTCAGAACTACGTTTGCAAAAAGTGCAGCTTTGAAACCCACTTTTCAATGAAATGGGTCCAACACGCCTTGACTTGTTTACAAAATCCAGAAAACCCCAACGCCACTATTGATGTTTCTTCATGGACTCAATGCGAACGTCTCTACGAACCCAAACCCAAGTTAAAAAAACACTACTTCGTCGCACGTCGGTTTCAATGTGCACACTGCCCCTACCGAGCCAAATACAAGCATTCGTTGGCGCACCACATAAACGCGCACCATTTGGACGACAAAGACATTACGTGGCACCAATGTGACTACTGCCCACACAAAGCCAAACAAAAGAATAATTTAAAAAGACACATCAACTCGCACCATTTGGACGAACATGATACCAGATGGCACAAATGCAAAGTGTGTGGATTCAAGTGTAAAAGCGAAGCCACTTTGACAAATCACATTAAATCGCGGCATGTGGAGGACCAGGACGCGACATGGTACGAATGCAAACAGTGTCCGCACAAAACTAAGAATTCGTGGAATTTGAAGATACACATGAAGACGCATTTGGGTGGGGAAAGTATCACGTGGTATGAGTGCAAGGAGTGTCCGTATAAGTCAAAGTACAAGACGGCTTTACAGCGACACGCGAATGCAAGGCATTCGGGGGACAAGGAAGTTAAGTGGTTTGAATGTGGAGTGTGTCCGTTTAGAAGCAAGCAAAAGTGGAAGGTGACGCAACATGTGAAGTTTAAACATTTAGATGAGAAGGATATTAAGGTGTAGGAGTGCGGAAAGTGTACTTGCAAAACTAAGAACTGAAGTGATTTGACAAGCCATACGAACGTCCGGTGGTTGTTTTCTTATTTGTACTTTCCATCAAATGAATAAAAATTTTAATTTGTTATTTTATTACAAAATTGTTGGTATCAAGAAACTTTTGTAGGAAAATATCGATTTTGCAATTTGGCTCCGCCCCTCGTTCTGACAACGACAACAATTGAGCTTGGGGTGGAAATGGGTGGGGCTTAATTTACGACTTGCTTTTCAATATACATATAGTATTCTTTGAACAACACGATATTCAAAAAGATGTTTTTAATTTTTCGTTGAGAAATAAGGATTTTGCAGTTAAGTTCCGCCTTCTTGGCTCACGACGAATAAAAAAATATATCACAATTGAGATAGGGTGGGTGGGCGGGGCTTCATTTTGCCTTTTTTTTTTTCTTAATATGTGTAGACTTATTTCGACAATGAGAATGATCAAATGAGCTTGTGTCATCAGATGTTATCAACATCAGTTACCTTGGTTTGTTGGTTCAGTTTCACTTGAAATTGCCTAAATTAACACGTATCCATAACCAGAGAACATAGAGAAGCGTCATAGTTTAATTTAATGACGGTTGAGGACTCCTCGACTTATGTTGGCAACAGTGTTCGCTTCTAACCAGGAATAAAATTAACTAGAAAAAATGTAATAATATTTTTAACGACGCGTTTTAGTTTCGACAAATTGACACTAGATTTACCAGAATATTACAAGCTGCTTACTGTTTCCTTCACTTTAATCCAGGTCACACGAATTACAGTTCGTCGTCTGACAACTTGTTTGATCTACAGACCAGAGCGCAATGTCGACTCTAAGCGTTCGGAAACGATTTGATTTATAACCCACGATCCGTGACTTGATACACATCCTAACCTATAATTTCTTGCTGTTTCAACTTTGGAAATCGCAGTTTTTCGAAATTTTAGTTTGGGGACTTTTCAGTTTACTCCTATTTATTATTTAATTTTTAATTTCTCAATTTTTCAATTTCTCGGTTTTCAATTTTTCTCTTCAATTTTAGGATTTCTAACTATTTCCATTTTTCAATTTTTGACTTTTATAAACTCTTTATTTGTCGATTTTTCAATTGATTTTTCAGGTTTTTTGGTTTTTCAATTTTTCTTTTTTTCAGGTTTCGATTTTTCAACTTCACTTTTTTGATTTTTCGATTTCTCAATTTTTCAATTTTTTAATTTCTCAGTTCTCCGACATTTCAGTTTTAGGATTTTTCAGTTTACTTATTATTCAATTTTTTGATCTTACGATTTTGCAGATTTTTGATTTTTCAATTTTTCGATTCTTTAGATTCTCAGTTTTTGGATATTTCAGTTTTGGGATTTTTCAGTTTTTCGATTCGTCAGTTTTTTTCATTTTTCACTTTTTCGATATTTCAGTTTTGGGATTTTTCAATATTTCTGTTCTTCGACTTTTCCATTTTTGACTTCTGGATTTTTCGATGTGTCGATTTTTTACTTTTTCGATTTTTAAATTTTAGATTTCTCAATTTTTTTGTATTTTAATTTTTCAATATTTAAAATTTTAGATTTTTCTATTTCTCGATTTTTCATTTTAGCTCTTCCATATTTCAATTTTTCAAATGTTTCGATTTCTTAATCTTTCGATTTTTCGACTTTCCGGTTTTAGATTTTCTGTTTTTCAATTGTCGTTTTTTCAAATTTTCGATTTTTCAATTAATCGATGTTTTGATTTTCCCATTTCTTGACTTTCGAGGGTTTCGATATTCCAGTTCAATTCTTTAATTTTTCGATTTTTCAGGTTTTTGACTTTTCAGTTTTTAGTTTTTTTAAGGATTCGATTTTTCGACTTCACTTTATGGATTTTTCGATTGCTCAATTTTTTGATTTTTTAGATTCTCAGTTTTTGGACATTTCAATTTTCGGATTTTTCAGGTTTTCTTTCATTTTTCAGTTCGTCGATGTCTGAGTTTTGGGATTTTTCAATATTTTGATTCTTCGACTTTTCGATTTTTGACTCCTGGATTTTTCGATGTGTCGATTTTTTTACTTTTTCGATTTTTCAATTTTTCGATTATTAAATTTTAGATTTTTTAATTTTTAAAGTTTTATATTTTTCGATTTCTCGATTTTTCATTTCAGTTCTGCGGTATTTCAATTTTTCAAGTTTTCGAATGTTTCCATTTTTTAGTCTTTTGATTTTTCGACTACCCGGTTTCAGATTTTCTGTTTTTCAATTGTAATTTTGTCAAATTTTCGATTTTTTAATTTTTCAAATTTGACTTTTATAATCTCTCAATTTTTAGATTTTTCAATTAATCGATGTTTTGATTTTCCCATTTATTGACATTCGAGTGTTTCGATTTTTCTGTTCTTCAAATCTTTAATTTTTTGATTTTTCAGGTCTTTGATCTTTCAATTTTTCGATTTTTTAAGATTTCGACTTCACTTTATGGATTTTTCGATTGCTCAATTTTTTTACTTTTTAGGTTCTCAGTTTTTGGATATTTCAGTTTTCGGATTTTTCAGGTTTTCCCATTTTTCAGTTTTTCTTTCATTTTTCAGTTTTTCGAATCTCAGTTTTGGGATTTTTCAATATTTTGATTCTTCGACTTTTCGATTTTTGACTCCTGGATTTTTCGATGTGTCGATTTTTTTACTTTTTCGATTTTTCAATTTTTCGATTTTTAAATTTTAGATTTTTTAATTTTTAAAGTTTTAGATTTTTCGATTTCTCGATTTTTCATTTCAGCTCTGCGATATTTCAATTTTTCAAGATTTCGAATGTTTCGAATGTTTCCATTTCTTAATCTTTTGATTTTTCGACTACCCGGTTTTAGATTTTCTATTTTCAAATGTCATTTTGTCAAATTTTCGATTTTTTAATTTTTCAAATTTGACTTTTATAAACCTTCAATTTTTCGATTTTTCAATTAATCGATGTTTTGATTTTCTCATTTCTTGACATTCGAGTGTTTCGATTTTCCTGTTCTTCAATTCTTTAATTTTTTGATTTTTGAGGTTTTTGATCTTTCAATTTTTCGATTTTTTAAGGTTTCGACTTCACTTTATGGATTTTTCGATTGCTCAATTTTTTGACTTTTCAGGTTCTCAGTTTTTGGATATTTGAGTTTTCGGATTTTTTAGGTTTTCCCATTTTTCAGATTTTCTTTTATTTTTCAGTTTGTCGATATCTCAGTTTTGGGATTATTCAATATTTTGATTCTTCGACTTTTCGATTTTTGACTCCTGGATTTTTCGATGTGTCGATTTTTTTACTTTTTCGATTTTTCAATTTTTCGATTTTTAAATTTTAGATTTTTTAATTTTTAAAGTTTTAGCTTTTTCAATTTCTTGATTTTTCATTTCAGTTCTGCCATATTTCAATTTTTCAAGTTTTCGAATGTTTCGAATGTTTCCATTTCTTAATCTTTTGATTTTTCGACTACCCGGTTTTAGATTTTCTATTTTCAATTGTCATTTTGTCAAATTTTCGATTTTTTAATTTTTCAGATTTGACTTTTATAAACCTTCAATTTTTCGATTTTTCAATTAATCGATGTTTTGATTTTCCCATTTCTTGACATTCGAGTGTTTCGATTTTCCTGTTCTTCAATTCTTTAATTTTTTGATTTTTCAGGTTTTTGATCTTTCAATTTTTCGATTTTTTAAGGTTTCGACTTCACTTTTTGGATTTTTCGATTGCTCAATTTTTTGACTTTTCAGGTTCTCAGTTTTTGGATATTTGAGTTTTCGGATTTTTCAGGTTTTCCCATTTTTCAGATTTTCTTTTATTTTTCAGTTTTTCGATATCTCAGTTTTGGGATTTTTCAATATTTTGATTCTTCGACTTTTCGATTTTTGACTCCTGGATTTTTCGATGTGTCGATTTTTTTACTTTTTCGATTTTTCAATTTTTCGATTTTTAAATTTTAGATTTTTTAATTTTTAAAGTTTTAGATTTTTCGATTTCTCGATTTTTCGTTTCAGTTCTGCGATATTTCAATTTTTCAAGTTTTCGAATGTTTCGAATGTTTCCATTTCTTAATCTTTGATTTTTCGACTACTCGGTTTTAGATTTTCTATTTTCAATTGTCATTTTGTCAAATTTTCGATTTTTTAATTTTTCAAGTTTGACTTTTATAAACCCTCAATTTTTCGATTTTTCAATTAATCGATGTTTTGATTTTCCCATTTCTTGACATTCGAGTGTTTCGATTTTCCTGTTCTTCAATTCTTTAATTTTTTGATTTTTCAGGTTTTTGATCTTTCAATTTTTCGATTTTTTAAGGTTTCGACTTCACTTTATGGATTTTTCGATTGATCAATTTTTTGACTTTTTAGGTTCTCAGTTTTTGGACATTTCAGTTTTCCGATTTTTCAGTTTTTCTTTCATTTTTCAGTTTGTCGATATCTCAGTTTTGGGATTTTTCAATATTTTGATTCTTCTACTTTTCGATTTTTGACTCCTGGATTTTTCGATGTGTCGACTTTTTTACTTTGTCGATTTTTCAATTTTTCGATTTTTAAATTTTACATTTTTAATTTTTAAAGTTTTAGATTTTTCGATTTCTCGATTTTTCATTTCAGTTTTGCGATATTTCAATTTTTCAAGTTTTCGAATGTTTCCATTTCTTAATCTTTTGATTTTTCGACTACCCGGTTTTAGATTTTCTGTTTTTCAATTGTCATTTTGTCAAATTTTCGATTCTTTAATTTTTCAAATTTGACTTTTATAAACTCTCAATTTTTAGATTTTTCAATTAATCGATGTTTTGAATTTCCCATTTCTTGACCTTCGAGTGTTTCGATTTTTCTGTTCTTCAATTCTTTAATTTTTTGATTTTTCAGGTTTTTGAGTTTTCAATTTTTCGATTTTTTAAGGTTTCTATTTTTCGACTTCACTTTTTTGATTTTTCGATTTTTCAATTTTTAGATATTTCAATTTTAGGATTTTTCAATATTTCAATTCTTCGGTTTTTCTATTTTGGACTTCTGGATTTTTCGATGTGTTTTACTTTTTCGGTTTTTCAATTTTTGGATTTTTAAATTTTAGATTATTCAATCTTTTGATAGTTTAATGTTTCAATATTTCTTAGTCTTTCGATTTTTCGACTTCCAGGTTTTAGATGTTCTGTTTTTCAATTTTTCGATTTATTAATTATTCATTCCCGATTTATCGAGATTTGATTGTTCAGGTTTTCGATTTATCAGTTTTTCAATTTTTTATTTTGGCCTATTTCGGTTTCTCATTTTTTCCAGTTTTCCATTTTTTCGTTTTTTTATTTTTCCGCTTTTCCAATTTTTCAACTTTTAACTTTTTGTTTGTCGATTTCTCTATTTTTCAATTTTTCGACTTCATCACTTTTCGATTTCTCGTTCTTTTGATCATTCAATTTCTCAATTTTTCAATTTTTCGAATTTTAAGTTTTTTGATTTCTCGATTTATCGAGATTTGGATTTTCCGATATTTTGATTGTCAATTTATAAATTGTTCAATTTTTAACTTTTCGATTTTTCGATTTTGGCCTATTTCGATTTCTCAATTCTTCGACTTTTCGACTCCATGATTTCTTGATCTTTTGATTTTTCGATTTCTCGGTTTTTCGATGTTTCGATTTTTCAGTTATCCGACTTTTTAAATTTGGAAGTTTCGATTTCTCAATTTTTCGTTATTCGATTTCTAAATTTTAAATTTTTGAATTTTACATTTTTTCGATTTTCTGATGTTTCATTTTTCGATTTTCAGTTCTTGGATATTTCGATTTTTCAATGTTTCGGTTTTACGTTTTTTAAGGTTTCGATTTTTCGATTATTAGGTTTCTCGGTTTTTCAAATTTTCGATTATTTTAATTTTTCATTTTTTTTCTCACTGTTAATATCACACAGTGTATTGAAAATAACCACAAAAATTGTCACTAAAAACATTTAAAAATTCATACAAAATAGAACACAGTGTTTCCAAAACATTTTCCCGAAAAAATCCATTGGGTTATTACGATTTCAACAATATTCTTATTAGAGTCGACATTGGCCTGAGCGCGCTCTGGTCTGTAGATCAAACAAATTCTCAGGCGACAAGTTGTAGTGAAACAAGTTTTTTTATTGGCATCGACTATTTAAATTTGGCGCTTGCCTTTGGCGGTTGAGGACTCCAATGTCAATAAGGGTGGTTTTGCAAAATCAGACTGTATGTCGCATCTATATTAATCTATGCCATAACCAAACAATTTCTGACAGTTAACCTCAATAAAGTGGAAGAACACTGCCGTTTTATCTAAAATAATTTGAATTGTTTTTAATTTAATTCACAGGTACGCAATTCAAGATTAATTTTTGCAACAACCTTCTAAAATAAGAATAACGCATGAATTTCAGACTAGTTGAAATGGAAACTTGGATGAAGTACGTTCATCGTTTTTTCTGAAGATGAATTACATTCACCGTCATCAGTCGCCTTTGGCATCTTTTACCTGTGAAAACCCCCTTGATTCTTACCATTGCAAACACTGCAATTTTCGAACTGAACTAGCGTTGCCTTTCAAACAACACATTAAAGACTGTCATGGAATTAAACAAGAAAACGACGATTTAGTTGTACCACACAACATTAAAAAGTACGTTTGTGGAAACTGCGGCTTGCAAACGCATTTTTCGCTTAAATGCTTACGTCATGCAGTAACGTGCTCGAACAACAAGGGAAATCTTCAGTGGCGTAAATGTGATCAATGCGACTACAAATACCAAGATGAACATTCGTTAAAAGAACACAAAACTGTTACGCATTCAACAGAAACAAAAAACATCAAGTGGTACGGTTGTGAAAAATGCCAATACAAAACCAAATACTGCCAATCTTTAAATAGACACATAAACTCGCGGCATTTCGACGAAGCCGAAATCAAGTGGCACCACTGCAGTGAGTGTACTTTCAAGAGCAAAGACAAAGACAGTTTGAAAAGTCACATTAACTCGTGGCATCTGGACGACCAGGACGCGAAATGGTACGAATGCAAGCGGTGTCTATTTAAAGCTAAACGGAACATATCTTTGACCAGACACATCAACGCACGGCATCTGGACGTGCCAAAGGCCGGCAAGTGGTACGAATGCCAACAGTGTCCGTTCAAGACTAGAGATCCTTCGAGCTTGAGGAGGCACGTGAAAACCCAGCATTTGAATGGGATGACTATCACGTGGTATCAGTGCACAGAGTGTCCGTTTAAAACAAAAATTGAGGGGGTTTTACAGAAACATCGCATGAATGGGCGGCATTTGAACGGAGACGACGTCAGGTGGTATGATTGTGGAAAATGCCAATACAAAACCAAAAACCACCAGACTTTAAAGAAACACATGAATCGCCGGCATTGAGTGAAGACTCTCGATAAAAAAGAGTTTAGTTTGTTGGACTTTCACTTTCCATCACTTGAATAAACTTATTAATCAATTTTGTAACATTATGTTAATGCCGTGTATTGTGTGTTGCATATATGAAAGTCTAAATTTTGAGGTTATGAATCAATCATAACCTCAAACAAATTACAGATAAACGAGAGAAACCTAATATTTCCGTACTTTCGCAAGAAATAATTACAGATTAAGTGCATTAAATTGCTTGTGTAACGTTTATGCAGATCATAAATACCTTTAATTAACACAACATAAAAATTTTCATCTGTGTATATGCAACACATAATACACACCACTAATAATAGTGTAATCGTAGTTTGATAATTTTATTCATTTGAGGAAAGTACAAATAAAAAACTATTTAACCTCTCTTGCGCCCAAATGGCGCGCTTTTGCGTGCCTCTGTAAAACCCCCTTGTGTTTCGTTCTAAATGGACACTCGGCGCACTGACACCAGGTCACGTCTTTCCCACTCAAATGCCACTTCCTCACGTGAGTTTTTAAATTTGAACGCTGCCTAGTTTTGTGCGGACACTGTTCGCATTCATACCATTTCCCGTCCTGGTCGTCCCTATGCCGTGCGTTAATGTGATTTTTCAAACTGCCTTTTTCTTTACTCTTGAAAGGACACTCATTGCAGTGGTGCCACTTGATTTCGGCTTCGTCCAAATGCCGCGCATTTATGTGTGAATTTAAAGTCGAGTGGTACTGGGTTTTGTATTGGCATTGTTCACAATGGTACCATTTGATTTCGTCTCGGTCCAAATGTCGCCCGTTCACCCGATGTTTCTCTAAAACACTCTCGTCTTTTGTTGTAAATGCGCACTCCTCGCACTGATACCACGTGATATTTGCCCCCTTGAAATGGCGCGCGTTTTTGTGTCTGCGTAAAATTCTCACTTGCTTGGTTTTAAAGGGACACTCGTTGCACTGATACCACGTGATACTTTCCCGATTCGAATGTCGGGCTTTCGTGTGGCTTCGTAAATTCGAACAAATTCTAGTTTTGTACGGACACTGCTTGCATTCGTACCATTTGGCGTCCTGATCGTCCAGATGTAGTGCGTTAATGTGGCCTTTCAAACTGCCTTTGTCTTTGCACTTGTAAGAACACTGAGTGCAGTGGTGCCACTCGATTTCGTGTTCATCCAAATGCCGCGCATTTATGTGTTTATTTAAAGACTAGCAGTTACCCGCAGCTCCGCTTGCGTGGATTTCGCAATTAGGACATATTATTTTTCATCCCTTGATTTATTTTTTGATTTCAATTTTATTACTTTTTAAGTTTGTGCAGTCTTCATTAATAACAATATATAAAAGTGTTTATCATCGGGCTGACTGATCCATCAACGTACCTACTGGAGCTAGAAATACGAAATTTGGACAGAAAGTTCCTTCGTAATGTAAACAACCATTACCCCTAGGTGGCTGAAATAAGGACTGAAAGTTTGGAGTTAACAGTTCCGTGAATTTTTAAATAGGGGGGGGGGGGGGGGGGGGAGTGAAACAACGCTATTTTATAACATAGGAGTATAATACAGTGCGTGCGTGGCTATATGCATTTCCATGTTAAATTTTATACCCCATGTTAACTTATGTTTGAGTAAAGATTCAGAGCTGAAATTTTTATTGGATGTAATTTGGGTTATCTTTTGTCGATTTTATTAAAAGTCATGTTTTAAATTAAAGGATATTTCTTTGAAAAAGTTAAAATATTTGGATATTTTTGTCGCTAATGGCTGTAGGCAGCCATGTAAAAACAAACGTTTACCTGACCTATCTAACTTGGTTGTAAATTTGATATTATTCTGTATTTAATAAACTTTCGTTGTGCCTATAAAAGTATGTCATAGCTAATCTCTCTGATATAGTCTCTGTTTTGTATGACTTCTTCACGTCTTACAGGCTGAGGTAAACCATAGTACTCTAAACATTGTCTTCCTAAAGACAGCACTGTGGATGGAAATCAGACACTTGTTGTACACTTCATTTATAATCTGAACACTCTCTTGACACTCTGACTGAACTTGACAAACCCAAAGCTTTGCATGATGACTGGCATATGGAATAAACGACACTATCAATAGTTTTTAAATCCGAGAATTATGTTAGCCCTCTCATTGCATGAAGAAGAGGATCAAGGTAGAAACATTCGGCGTTATTAGGGTGAACGGTGTACACTGTACCCAAAGCTTGATCTCTTTTGACTCCCGGCCCACCATCAACATTGTTTTCACGTTTTCATCTCCCAAATTTGGTACTTTTCCATAGTATGAAGGTACTTCAACATAAAGAAGGATTTTTGCAGAATTATCCGTTTTGCAAAGCTCAAAACATGATAGAGGAGTAGTTTTCTGTGAATTATTTAACTTTTCAGTTACATTATTAAAGTCGATAGGATTAAAATAGACAGCAGGCCATTTTCCAAGTGCATGCGAGATGAAAAACCGCTGTAAATTGTTCATGTATAGGAAAGGCCAGGATTCTCCAGTTGCTAATATATCGACCACTTTCATATAATTTGACTTCATCATTGTCATTTTCAAGACCAAATAATCCTGGTTGGATCCTTTATTACCATATTTGCATATATATTTAAAAGATTTTATAGAGTTACAATACTCTATGTTGATGTGAGCAGCAAAAGTTCAAGACAAAACTGGATTGTACGATACCACCCATCTGTTATCTAGGGTTACACCATGGAATTCAACCGTGAATCCACCATCCGCGGGACCTCTTCGCCGGTATTGAGGGTAGCTGTCATCGCCTGTTTGGGTTTCTTTCAGGAGAATTCAAGGAAATTTTTTGCTACAGCTGCCTCCTTTCATACACGGGAACACAAAATTAGAATACTTGGAGAGAAATACTCTGACAATTCGTGATATAAAACCGACCGCAGACCACGTTCGCGTCGCAGTCGCTTACCCGGTGACGTCGCGTCGCGCCCTCCCTATTTCTATACAACTTCTTAAATTTCGAAGGCTTACGACTGATTTTTCCAAAAATCCTACTACGTCTAATATGCGAAAAAGATATTTAACTACTTATTTTAAACTTTGATTTTTAACCACGTTTGGATTAATATTTAACTTCTCCTGTTTCTCACATTTCCACCCAAATTATATTCCGTTGGGGATGAATATCAAAAAAAAATTAAAATCAGTCAAGACAATTTTACATGATTACCGAATTTCAAGTAACAAGTGTGTTGGAGGGTATTAATACAACATTTCAAGTAAAAATCGCCAAACAAATATTTTTTCTCATATAAACTTTGCTACCTCATTTGATCTTCTTAGGGGTAGAATCTCAAAAACAGCTGAAATACGCGTTCCATTATTTGTGTTGAAGAGCATTAATATCAAGTTCCACGCAAAAATTTACAACAGAAATATTTTTCCCATACACAATTAGTTACCACTTTTCACCCCTTTAGGGGTTGAATCTTGTAAAATTCTGAAATACGTGTTTCATTATATGTGTTGAAGAGCATTAATACCAAGTTCCACGGGAAAATATACAACAGAAGTAGTTTTCCCGTACAAATTTAGCCACCACTTTTTACCCCCTTAGGGGTTGAATTTCGGAAAATGGTGAAATACGTGTTTCGTTGTTTGTGTTGAAAAACATTAATACCAAGTTTCACGTAAATATTAACAACAGAAGTGGTTAGAAAATAGTCTTCCTGTACAAACTTTTCCACCCCTTCCCACCCTTTTAGGGGTGGAATTTCCCAAGTTCCTTCCTTAGTGGATGTTTACATCACAAAAGGAAACTACTGTCCAAATTTCATGTTTCTAGCTTCAGTAGTTTAGGCTCTGCGTTGATGAATCAGTCAGTCAGGACAAACAATTTTATATGTATAGATTGGCGGTATTCAGTTTTGTATTGGCATTTTTCACAGTTGTACCATTTAATGTCGCCGTGTTGGTTGGAATGTCGCGCTTTCACGTGTTTCTGGAAAACCCCCTCGTGCTTTGTTTTAAATGAACACTCTGTGCACTTATACCATGTGATACTTTTGGCATTCAAATGATGGCTTTTCACGTGCCTTCTTAAATTAGAACAGTCTCTAGTCTTGTATGGACATTGTTGGCATTCGTACAATTTCGCGTCAAGGTCGTCCAGATGCCGTGTTTTAATGTGCCTTTTGATTTGGTCCTCAACCAAATGCTGTTTTGAATTTGGTTGTACTTTAATTTGTGGACACTCTCTCATGTGAAGCAACCATTTAAGCGAAAAATACGTCTCAAATCCGCACTTTCGACAAACGTACTTTTGATTATTGTATTGTAGAATTAAATCGTCGTTTTCGTGTTTAATTCCGTGATGTTCTTTAATGTGTTGCTTGAAAAGCAACGTGAGTTCAGTTTGAAAATCACAGTCTTTGCAATGGTAAGAATCAAAGGTGTTTTTACAGTTAAAAGGTAGCAAAGGCGACTGATGGCGGCGTTTGTGGTTCATCATCAGAAAAAACGATGTTGTAACGTATGGGCAAACTTTGCAGTTGTGGACATTGACTAAAGGGGGCTTCTTGGGGGCCGTGAGGGGTTCGGAATATTGCAAAGTCACCATTTCGACTAGTCTGAAATTCATTCAAAGATGATTATAAAAACGAATCTTGCGTTTTTACCTCTTAATTAGTTAAATTAAAAGCAAAACAAGAGGTTAAATTGATTTTAACATAACCTCAAAATGATATTTTAGTGGTTTAATGTTGGTAGTCAATTTGTTACAGATCAAGATTATGCAACACGTTATACACGTGCTTTTCCGTTTTTTAAATTTTTTTGTCAAAAAAAAAAAACTACAAGGCGTTAAAATTGTGATGAGTATGAGATTATCTGGTTTCCGCTATTTATGTATCAGTTTTAAATTTAACAAAAAGTTACATTAGTAGAAATTGTATTAAAAAATCCATTGCGCTTTACAGAAATACAATATGGTAATGAATAATTGAGTATACAGGAGCAGAATATTTAAAATTTGTGGTCAAACAAACTTTAGCCATTTTTCTGGTCCACTCAAATCTATAACAAGTAACTAATAGAGCCCGTCCTTTTAAAGCCCCCATAATCCGACAATAAAATTTAATGAGAGAGTCCAACTTACAACGCCAAGTAAGAGCCAATTAAAAAATCTTTTTGTTAAAGATTAAAAGATTTGCGTCCGCAGGTAATTAGCGGTGGACTAATATTTACGATACATACAATATATACGGATTTTGCAATTAAATTCCGCTGTTTTGGCTTTCTACTATAAAAATAATAAATTCTTGCAGACAAATATAGATCTTGCAATTAAGCCCCGCCTCTTGATCTGACAACGAATGAAAAATTCATCACAATTGAGAATTGAGATCGGGGCGAGCATAGGTGGGGCCTAATATTTGCCTTTATTTTTTTCTTAATATGGATAGTATTGTTTAAACGACACGATACATAAAAACATGTTTTTCATTTCTCGTGGGGAAATACGGATTTTGCACTTAAGCTCCGCCTTCTTGGCTCACGACGAATAAAAAAATTATCACAATTGAGATAGGGTGGCTGGGCGGGGCTACATTATGCTTTTTTTTTCTTAATATGTGTAGACTTGTTTCGACAATAAGAAACAAAAATATAAACATACATACGCAACAAGTAGTTCAATGTTCAAATGAGCTTACGACGTCAGATGTTAACAACATACCAACATCAGTTACCTTGGTATGTTGGGTCAGTTTCACTTGAAATTGCCTAAAGTAACAATATTACAAGCTGCTTACTGTTTCCTTCACTCTAATTCAGGTCACACGAATTACAATTCGTCGTCTGAGAACTTGTTTGATTTACAGACCAGAGCGCACTCAGGCGATTGTCGACTCTAAGCGTTCGGAAACGATTTGATTTATAAGCCATGATCCGTGATCTGATACACATCCTAACCTATAATTTCTTGCTGTTTCAACTTTGGAATTCGCAGTTTTTGGAAATTTTAGTTTGGGGACTTTTCAGTTTACTCCTATTTACTATTTAATTTTTAATTTCTCAATTTTTCAATTTCTCGGTTTTCAGTTTTTCTCTTCAATTTTACGATTTTTAAATATTTCGATTTTTCAATTTTTGACTTTTATAAACTCTTTATTTGTCGATTTTTCAATTAATTGATTTTTCAGGTATTTTGGTTTTTCAATTTTTCTATTTTTTCAGGTTTCGATTTTTCAACTTCATTTTTTTGATTTTTCGATTTCTCAATTTTTCAATTTTTTAATTTTTCAGTTTTTCGACATTTCAGTTTTAGGATTTTTCAGTTTACTTATTGTTCAATTTTTCGATCTTACGATTTTGCAGATTTTTGATTTTCCAATTTTTCGATTCTTTAGATTCTCAGTTTTTGCATATTTCAGTTTTTGGATTTTTCAGTTTTTCGATTCGTCAGTTTTTCTTTCATTTTTCAGTTTTTCGATATTTCAGTTTTGGGATTTTTCAAAATTTCTGTTCTTCGACTTTTCCATTTTTGACTTCTGGATTTTTCGATGTGTCGACTTTTTACTTTTTCGATTTTTAAATTTTAGTTTTTTCAATTTTTTTGTATTTTAATTTTTCAATATTTAAAATTTTAGATTTTTCTATTTCTCGATTTTTCATTTTAGCTCTTCCATATTTAAATTTTTCAAATGTTTCGATTTCTTAATCTTTCGATTTTTCGACTTTCCGGTTTTAGATTTTCTGTTTTTCAATTGTCGTTTTTTCAAATTTTTGATTTTTCAATTTTTCAAATTTGACATTTTTAAACTGTTAGTTTTTCGATTTTTCAATTAATCGATATTTTGATTTTCCCATTTCATGACTTTCGAGGGTTTCGATATTCCTGTTCAATTCTTTAATTTTTCGATTTTTCAAGTTTTTGATTTTTCATTTTTTAGGTTTTTTAAGGTTTCGATTTTTCGACATCACTTTATGGATTTTTCGATTGCTCAATTTTTTTACTTTTTAGGTTCTCAGTTTTTGGATATTTCAGTTTTCGGATTTTTCAGGTTTTCCCATTTTTCAGATTTTCTTTCATTTTTCAGTTTTTCGATATCTCAGTTTTGGGATTTTTCTATATTTTGATTCTTCGACTTTTCGATTTTTGACTCCTGGATTTTTCGATGTGTCGATTTTTTTACTTTTTCAATTTTTCGATTTTTTAATTTTAGATTTTTTAATTTTTAAAGTTTTAGATTTTTCGATTTCTCGATTTTTCATTTCAGTTCTGCGATATTTCAATTTTTCAAATTTTCGAATGTTTCGAATGTTTCCATTTCTTAATCTTTTGATTTTTCGACTACCCGGTTTTAGATTTTCTATTTTCAATTGTCATTTTATCAAATTTTCGATTTTTTAATTTTTCAAATTTGACTTTTATAAACCCTCAATTTTTCGATTTTTCAATTAATCGATGTTTTGATTTTCTCATTTCTTGACATGCGAGTGTTTCGATTTTCCTGTTCTTCAATTCTTTAATTTTTTGATTCAGATTTTTGATCTTTCAATTTTTCGATTTTTTAAGGTTTCGACTTCACTTTATGGATTTTTCGATTGCTCAATTTTTTGACTTTTTAGGTTCTCAGTTTTTGGACATTTCAGTTTTCCGATTTTTCAGGTTTTCCCATTTTTCAGTTTTTCTTTCATTTTTCAGTTTGTCGATATCTCAGTTTTGGGATTTTTCAATATTTTGATTCTTATACTTTTCGATTTTTGTCTCCTGGATTTTTCGATGTGTCGACTTTTTTACTTTGTCGATTTTTAAATTTTACATTTTTAATTTTTAAAGTTTTACATTTTTCGATTTCTCGATTTTTCATTTCAGTTCTGCGATATTTCAATTTTTCAAGTTTTCGAATGTTTCGAATGTTTCCATTTCTTAATCTTTTGATTTTTCGACTACCCGGTTTTAGATTTTCTGTTTTTCAATTGTCATTTTGTCAAATTTTCTTTTTTTTAATTTTTCAAATTTGACTTTTATAAACTCTCAATTTTTAGATTTTTCAATTAATCGATGTTTTGATTTTCCCATTTTTTGACCTTCGAGTGTTTCGATTTTTCTGTTCTTTAATTATTTGATTTTTCATTTTTGATTTTTCAATTTTTCGATTTTTTAAGGTTTCTATTTTTGGACTTCACTTATTTGATTTTTCGATTTTTCAGTTTTTAGATATTTCAGTTTTAGGATTTTTCAATATTTCAATTCTTCGGTTTTTCTATTTTGGACTTCTGGATTTTTCGATGTGTTTTATTTTTCGATTTTTCAATTTTTGGATTTTTAAATTTTAGATTGTTCAATCTTTTGATATTTTAGTTTTTCAATATTTCTTAGTCTTTCGATTTTTCGACTTCCTGGTTTTAGATGTTCTGTTTTTCAATTTTTCGATTTGTTATTTTTTCATTCCCGATTGATCGAGATTTGATTGTTCAGGTTTTCGATTTATCAGTTTTTCAATTTTTTATTTTGGCCTATTTCGGTTTCTCATTTTTTCCAATTTTCCATTTTTTTTTATTTTTCCGCTTTTCCAATTTTTCAACTTTTAACTTTTTGTTTGTCGATTTCTCTATTTTTCAATTTTTCGACTTCATCACTTTTCGATTTCTCGTTCTTTTGATCATTCAATCTCTCAATTTTTCAATTTTTCGAATTTTAAGTTTTTTGATTTCTCGATTTATCGAGATTTGGATTTTCCGATATTTTGATTGTCAATTTATAAATCGTTCAATTTTTAACTTTTCGATTTTTCAATTTTGACCTATTTCGGTTTCTCAATTCTTCGACTTTTCGACTCCATGATTTCTTGATCTTTTGATTTTTCGATTTCTCGGTTTTTCGATTTTCCAGTTTTTCGATGTTTCGATTTTTCAGTTATCCGACTTTTTAAATTTGGGAGTTTCGATTTCTCAATTTTTCGTTATTTGATTTTTAAATTTTAGATTTTTGAATTTTACATTTTTTCGATTTTCTGATGTTTCATTTTTCGATTTTCAGTTCTTCGCTATTTCGATTTTTCAATGCTTCGGTTTTACGATTTTTTAAGGTTTCGATTTTTCGATTATTAGATTTCTCGATTTTTCAAATTTTCGATTATTTTAATTTTTCATTTTTTTTTCTCACTGTTAATATCATACAATGTATTGAAAACAACCACAAAAATTGTCACTAAAAACATTTAAAAATTCATACAAAATAGAACACAGTGTTTCCAAAACATTTTCCCGAAAAAAATCCATTGGGTTATTACGATTTCAACAATATTCTTAGTTTAAGACGTTTTGCTAGTATAAAACACAAATAAAGAATTAATTCTTAGTTAAACAAAATATGTAAAATCATCTAAATATGTACCAAAAATATTCACCTAGTCGTTAAAAAAACCGACGAAACAACTATTTCCCGCAGAAATTATAGTCCAAACCAACCAAATCGCTTTTGAATGCTTAGAGTCGACATTGGCCTGAGCGCGCTCTGGTCTGTAGATCAAACAAGTTCTCAGGCGACAAGTTGTAGTGTTGTAGATTTTTGCAAAATCAGATTGTATGTCGCATCTATATTAATCTATGGTACCACGTATTCATAACCTAACTATTTCTGTTCACATCAAACATCATCAACAAACGGAAAAGTAGAATTTTTCGCAGGTACGTATTGAAGATTAATTTTTGGAACAATCTTTTAATATAACATTGACGCATGAATTTCAGACTAGTTGAAATGGAAACTTGGGAACAACCGAAGTCTGCATAGTAAAAGTTGACAGTTGTAAAATTTGCCCATACATTGTTTGTTTTTTCTGATGATGAACCACATTCGCCGTCATCAGTCGCCTTTGCTACCTTTTAACTGTGAAAACCCCCTTGATTCTTACCATTGCAAAAACTGCCACTTTCAAACCGAACTAACGTTGCTTTTCAAACTACACGTTAAAGACCGTCATGGAATCAAACAAGAAAACAACGACGATTTAGTTGTACCACACAATAATCAAAAATACGTTTGCGGAAAGTGCGGCTTTGAAACGCATTTTTCGCTTAAATATTTACGTCATCAACATGACCATTCTTTAAAAGAGCACAAAACTGTTACGCATGCAACAGAGCAACAGCGGCGTCAGTGTGAAACAAAAATCAGCAAATGGTACGGTTGTGAAAATTGCCAATATAAAACCCAATACCGCTCGTGTTTAAATAGACACATAAATACGCTGCATTTGGGTAAAGATGAAATTACGTGGCACCACTGCAGTGACTGTACTTTCACGAGCAAAGACAAAGACAGTTTGCAGAGTCACATTAACTCATGGCATCTTAGCGACCAGGACACGAAATGGTACGAATGCAAACAGTGTCTATTTAAATCTAATCGTAAGTTATCTTTAACCAAACACATGAACGCACGGCATCTGGACGACCAGAACACCAAATGTTACAAACATAAACAGTGCTCATACAATAGTAGAGAAAATTGGAACGTGATAAGCCACCATTTGAAACAAAATGAGATCAGATGGTATGATTGTAAAAAGTGCCAATTTAAAACCAAACACCCTCGTTGTTTAAAGGAGCATATCATTCATTGGCATTTGGACGAGAATGAAATCAAGTGGAACCAGTGCAGTGAGTGTCCGTTCAAGAGCAAAAGCAAAGACGGTTTGAAAAGACACATTAACTCGCGGCATCTGGACGACCAAGACGCGAAATGGTACGAATGCAAACAGTGCCCGTTTAGATCTAAATCCATCCAATCTTTGCCTCGACATGTGGTCGTTTGCCATTTGGACAAAAAGGAGGGCAAGTGGTACAAATGCCAACAGTGTCCTTACAAGACTAGAGATCGTTCGACTTTGAGGAGGCACGTGAAAACCCAGCATTTGAATGGAAAAAGAATTACGTGGTATCAGTGCACAGAATGTCCGTTTCAAACAACATATGAGAAGGTTTTACAGAGACATCGCACGAATGGGCGGCATTTGAACGCAGACGATGTCAAGTGGTTTGATTGTGAAAAGTGTGATTACAAAACTAATTACCCCTAGTCTTTAAAGAAACACATGAATCTCTGGCATTTGGACAAAGAGTCTCGATAAAAAACCAATAGTGTAGCACGTGGTATCAGTGCTGTATAAAATTAATAATAAATCTTGTTAATTATTGTTAGTGCCGTGTCTTATGTGTTGCATATATAACTCTAAATTTTAAGGTTATGTATTATAACCTCAAAAAATTACAAAAAATCGATTATTGTCCTACTTTGGCAAGAAATAATTAGAGCTTCAGTGCATTAAAGTGCTTGTGTAACGTTGATAGATATAAATCATAACAATTTGATTTACACATAACCTCAAAAACTCATCAGCGATTTATATATGAAACACATAATACACATCATTAATAATATTGTAATGGTAAAACGGAAAAATTAAGTTTATTTTTCCCTATTTTCGAACGGCATTATCGTCAACTTAACCACAAAAATTTAGCACAGTATAGATATCAATTGATTTCTATACTGTAAACTCAGCATGGAAATATGCAACACACAATACACGCAACCACTTACGAAATTGTCTTCCATACAGGTTTTTATTGGTGAAGGCTTCAGTTAGAACGTACACAGACAATTTATTCACTTAAACTGTAAAGGGTGGAAATACCAGACTAGTTTGTTTAAATTTTCAAGAAAACGAAGATTAAACATAACCTCAAAAACTTAGAATGTATGCAACACACAATACACGCCACAAATCAATTTAATAATTTTATTCATTTATTAAAGAACAACCCACAAACTCCTCCTACTTCGAACAATGCTTACTTATGTGATTATGTAACGACGAGTTGTATTTACTTTTGAACGAACACCTTTTGCATTCGTACCATTTAACATCAGCTTCGCCCAAATGCCGCACATTTATATGACTTTTCAAATAACTTTTCTTCTTAGTTTTAAAAGTGCACTTGTCACACTCGTACCACTCAATCTCCTTCTCATCCAAATGGTGAAACTTCACGTGTTGTTTTAAATTCGAATTCTGTTTACTCTTGAACGAACAATTTTTGCACTTGTACCACTTAACGTTCTGTTGTTCCAAATGATGCGCGTTTATGTGTCTCCTCAAATTCAAACTGTCCTTAGTTTTGTACGGACAACTGACGCATTCGTACCACTTAGCGTTCTTTTCGTCCAAGTGCCGCACGTTCACGTGTCTCTTCAAATAACTCTTCTTCTTGGTTTTAAACGGACACTTTTCACATTTGTACCACTCGATGTCTTGTTCGTCTAGGTGTTGCGCACTCACGTGGTATTTAAGCGTCGTTTTTAACTTAGCTTTATAGGGACACTTTTTGCATTCATACCACTTGATGTCCTCTTTATCCAAATGGTTGTGATTCACGTGGGTGATCAACGACGATTTGTGTTTACTTTTAAAAGGACACCGGTCACACTCGTGCCATTTAACGTCTTCCTCGTCCAAATGTCGTGCGTTTATGTGACTTTTTAAAGTCGATTTGTGTTTAGCTTTATACGGACACTTTTCACAATCATACCATTTGATATTTTTCAAGACGCTTGATTGCGTTTTCGCGCACTTTTTACCTTCGTGCTTACGATCGACGTGCGCTCGTAAGTTACAAATTCGTTTACACTTGTACGGACACTTCAGGCAGTGAAACCAAGCGATTTCGTCGTCGTTTAAATGCTTCAAGTATTTGTGGCGTCGGAGACAGTGCTTGTACTTGGACCTGAAGTCGCACTTATCACAATAGTGGCAAAAAACAACCTCTGTGACACTCTCATTTTGAACTGTTTGTTTGTCCGCTGAACAAGTTAAAATGTGCTGGAACCACTTGAGGGCGAAATTTGTCTCAAAGTTGCACCTTTCGCACACGTATTTGTGGATGGTGAAGTTCAAGTTTGGTGAATTTCGGTCTTCGGTTTTAACGTTGTGGTATCTAGCGACGTGCAGTTTCAAAAGGACTGTGAGTTCTGTTTGGGAGTTGCAGTCGTTGCAAGTGTAGCTTTCGATTTGGCTGCTTTCGCAGTTGAAGGGGGTTGTCAGAGACTTGTGGAGTTTGAGGTGGTTGAGCATGAGGAAGAACGAAGTTGTAAAGTATGGACAGGCTTTGCAGCGGTGGACGTTCCTGTCATGGGTGCAAAGCGCTTCGGAGTAGTCCAGTGATGACATCCCGGTTTGGCTAAAAGCAGGTGTTAGTGTCGCTTTCGGGGCGAAGTGAGTCGATTTGTTACTTCGTAGTGTGGTGGCAAGGTAATGAATTTGAACAAATTGGTTGTGTTTTGAAATATAACCTAAGTTGAGCGAAATGGTGTTTGGAGGTTATGCAACTTGATATACATTGGTTGTCATTGTGCTGTCAATGCATAGTTGTATTGTGTGTTGCCTACATTGCGCAAGAATTCTAGATTCTAGGGGGTGACTATAACTATAAGGGTGACACTTAGTTAATTCTGAAACACCCCCAAAGAGAAATAAATGTGTGGGGTCTCCTTTGCAATAAACAAACCGAATAAAACTTTAAAATGTATTTGTAAAAATACTAATAAAACAATTATTAGTTTCTCTGTTGCAAATGCATTACATATTTATACATTTATTTACATTATTCGTTGTTATACATGGAACACACAAACTTCACAATGAGAGAGTTATCGAGTAAGACGTTTCGGTCACTAAGTTGCCACCATCAGAGAATATTTACACATAAAATGTCTTTAATTAGCGATTAAACCTACAATATTTCACGCAGAACGAACGGTTATGTACAAAATCCCTAAAAAAATCGAAGTCTGTCATAATTATTGTCATGTAAAAAGTCGAAAGCGCTAGTCGACAACTCCCTGAATAATCATTATAAACTATATAAATATAACTAACGTTTCATCAAAATATTATATCCTCTACATCTAGGCATTTAACAATCATAGATAATATTAAAGAGCACTTTGGGGTGATAAAAAATGACATACTAATTAAATAAAAATGATAAAATAAATATATTATACTTAGATAATGTATCAAAAAAGAAGCGAAAATTGCAAACAATTTGAGCACTCGTGTAGAAATGATAAGGCAACTTTTGTGCTTGTTTGTATTATACTTCGTCCTCTCCTAAGGTATGCCCTGTGTTCAGCCCGTCTCCGCCGGACCCATCTTCGTCCGCGTTCGCTTTACTCAGCGCCACTTCGGCCTCCAGCGCCCTGATCCTGTTCTCGTGCTTAACAATCATCGCTTTCAACTTCCTGATTTCGTCAGCGAACTCTTGCAACGTTTTATCCTACACCACAATTTTTTAAAACACAACCCAAACTTTCCGAAAAATACTCACAGAAACTTGCGTCTGATTCTGAGTTTTCGACCCTTTCGACGAACCTTTATCCAGGATGTTTCTTTTCGTGACTGAAATGGTGGCTTTCGATTCAGGTGGTTTGTAGCCGTCTTTCAGCGAAATCAGAATGGGTTCGGCGTCTTTACCCTCGATCCACTCTTCTGCTGTCAACGCCGAGCTGTCGCCTAAAGTATCGGGGTAAAGATCCTCCTGGAACAACTCAGACTTTCGGGGGACGGTCATCGTTATAACCTAAAAATGTAGTGTGAGATTGCTGCATCTCCGAAAGAGTCGGCTTACTTGACACAAGCCCGAATTGTTTAGCCTATAAAACCTGGAGATTTCGCAGGACGTGACATCGCAGCCCCTTTTGGGCATCATACCTATCCCTCGTTGTGGATCTGGGGTTTGAAATGTGTTAATGTAGTGGACGAATGGTGGTTCGGCGGTTATTTCAAAGTAACGAATAACCGAATCGCCCTTTCCGCACAAGTAAACTAAGTTGGTGTCGGGGTCGTACAGTGGAAACATGACACCGTTCGAAGTATCGAGTTCCACCATAACGATTGGCTCGTTGAGTGCGTCTGGAGTTCGAAGACTGTATTGGCGTTCCGACATTTTGGAGAAGCCTGTCGTGAAAACGAGGCCGTGTCGGAGGAAGATAGCACGCGTGGCTTTCGAACCTAAAAAATATAAATTAAAAACTAATTGTTTGTAGAAATTGGAACATGTTACGTTAATCTAACCTCACTTTATATTTTTACACAAATCAAGTGGCAACTGATTATTAGACAAGTCGTCAAACTAACCTCACTTTTCACACAAATTATTCGTCTTAGTCGTTTTACCTTCGTGGCAAATGGCCTCAGATTCGACTTCCCCGGTCCTGGGGTTGATCATCCTAATTTTCTTGTCTTTGCAGGTGGTGAGGAGCTGCGAGCCGTCCCAGTTAAAGCAGGCACTGTACACGATGTCCGGATGGCAGTCGAGTTTGACCAGAGCCTCACCCGTCCCTGTCGCACATTTTAGAACCCCCCGAGACCAATCTAACCTCAAACTCACCGACGTTCCAAATGACCACTTGGTTGTCGCTGCCCGCCGTCAGTAACACGTTCAGCGCCGTCGGGTGCCACAAAACCAAGCCGACCCGCCTCTGGTGGCAGACCAAGTCGACGACTGGCTCGGTCAGGGTCTTGATGAGGCCCCCGTCAGGTATGTGCCAGACTTTGACGACGCAGTCCTCCGAGCCGCTCGCGATAACATTGTCGTTGTGGGGGCACCACGCGATGTCCAGCACGGGCCCCTTGTGTCCGCCCACGAGCGGGTGGTCGGCGGCCAAGCGCCCCACCTGAAAAAATAAATATATATTCGGCCATAGCGCGAAATTGCAGCGCGTTGGCAGCGCGTCAAAAGCTCGATATAGACGCATTTTGCTTAAAAATAAGTGCGGGCTATTTATAGATCGGTGCACTTTTTGACCGGAATGATTCACGCACTTTGCACGATTCACGCAGTGAATTCCAGCTGGGTTTCGTGAATTACTGGCCTCGGCTGCGTACCTTGTTGTGGGGCAACACGATGAAGGCGCCCCCGCCGGCGCTCTCCACGATAATGGCAAGGAACTTGGGGTTGACCGCACAGAAAGTGGCGTCCCACGAACTCTTGCTCACCCTGATGTTGTCGTAGCACTGCTCCCTTTTCAGGGCTTGGCCGTACACGTGACGGAACTTTGAGCTGCGGACGACGCGGAAAGACATCTGAAATTCGGTGAAAGCGGTTATCGCAGGCCAAACATAACCTAAAAACGTCAAATCGTATAGGCGGAGAGAAGTACTCACCTTCGTTTCGTTTTATTGCTACCGTTCGAACGAACTATTTACATCGGTTAGTGCATAAGATCGAGCCGTTTTGATCTTATCTAGATGCACCACATATCTAGTTCACGAAATAAGACAGAAATCCCTTATTTGGTTATGCGAAAATTTTGAAACGTCAAAATCGACACGAGCGACATCTGCCCCCGAAATGTCAGCAGTTTTTGCCAATTGATACGTACGCACGGGAGGAAGACGAAAAACGCAAAAACTCGGCGGCGGTCGTCGGCGGCATTTTTTTGCTTGAAAAATACGTACGTGGGTGGCCGGTCACGAATTTAGAAGCGGTCGGTATCGCGAAGTTTTGGGGAATTTTCGTCTGTTTTATCCACTAAAGTTGCGACCCTTGTAAAAACAATCCGCCACTTTTGACTCAGTTTTCGATTCGTCGTTTTACTTTCGTGTATAAATTTTGATAACTTTCACACGGCATTCCGTATTTTGTGGTGTATAGTGCGACGTGGTCTCGCAAACCTCGGATCTTCCAACAAATAATTATACACCGTCACGAACTGGAAGATTGCGTCCTAGAATTAGACACACAAACTCGAGTTATACAACACACAATACACTCATGTTTTCTCGTAATGCATTTTAACGGGTTTAGTTTTTTCTCGATTATTACAAATTCTAGACAAATAAAGCACATATTTTTTTGAAATTAAACGGTGTTTTCCAAGTGCAAGTACTAAAACCCCACCCACCCGCCCTCTTCTCATCCTAACGACAAATTTTATGTCTGTACAGTACAAGTTCCACCTTTTATTCAGAGCAGATAAAATTAATCACTAAAATAGAGGCGGGGTGGGTGGGCGGGGCTAATTGTTTTTTCTTCTATAGAGTGAAAGTGGGAATTAATAGTACCTACGCTGTAAAAAAAGTAAAAAAAAAGTTCTAATCGTAATTTTTTTGTTGTAATATTTGCTATAAGATTTATTTCTTATTTCAGAAGAAAAATAATGACAAACCGGGTGGGTGGTGGTAATTTTAACTTTTTCCTGGAGAGTCTTTTATGGGCAAGGAATAGATACGCCCACCCACCCCTTCTTCATTCTGATGACTACTCTTGAAACTGTTAATTAATAGCAACATTATTACATAATAAGTTATACCTTATTAGAATCTTCGGCGAATCTGTTAAACCGTTGTTGAGAAAATAGTTTAACTAATTTTTCCATCAATTGTTCGATGTGCTATCGCACGCAAAAGTATTTTTAAATCATATTTTTCCACTTTTCAGTTTTTGATTTTTCGACTTGTTGATGTGAAATCGAAAAATTGAAAAATCGCGAAATCGAAACTTCAAAAGAACGGGAAGTCGGAAAATGGATAAATTGAGAAATGGAAGTGGCTAAAAATCGAAAAATGCTTGTCCTTAAAACTCTCTAGGAAAAAATTAAACTAAACCCCGCCCACCCACCCGCCTCAATTTTGGTGATTAATTTTATCTGCTCTGAATGAAAGGTGGATCTTATACAGAAATAAAATTAGTCGCTACTTGTTCTTGTACCATATGTGAAGTGTTTTGTCTTCGTTTATAGTCCAAATCGACGAAAATTTTGACCAGGACTTAATAAAACAAGGTAAGTAAAGTGAAATGTTGCATGAGAACAGCTTTCCATTCTTGATCTTGCCTGTTGTTGTGTGTTTAATGATGCTCATAAGATCGATTCAAGGAATCGCTTTATTACACTTTGACGATTTTCTGAATCGATTAATCGGGAAAAATATCTATCTAAAAAAAAACATGGTAACTTATTGGCAGCAAGTTTTTTTGTTGTTATGATGGCATTCTGGAGGTCCTAATGATACAAATGTCAAATCTAGTTACTTTATAAAAAAGTCCCTACATAATTCATTAGGTGATATTTGCAAATTATGCAACACACAGTACAGTCAGAGAACATAGAGAAGCGTCATTGTTTAAATTAAATAACGGTTGAGGACACCTCGACTTATGTTGGCAACAGTGTTCGTTTCTAACTAGGAATAAAATTAACTAGAAAAAATGGAATAATATTTTTAACGACGCGTTTTAGTTTCGACAAATTGACACTAGATTTACCATAATATTACAAGCTGCTTACTTGTTTGATCTACAGACCAGAGCGCACTCAGGCCAATGTGGACTCTAAGCGTTCGGAAACGATTTGATTTATAAGCCACGATCCGTGATCTGATACATATCCTAACCTATAATTTCTTGCTGTTTTAACTTTCGAATTCTCAGTTTTTCGAAATTTTAGTTTGGGGACTTTTCAGTTTACTCCTATTTATTATTTAATTTTTAATTTCTCAATTTTTCAATTTCTCGGCTTTCAGTTTTTCTCTTCAATTTTACGATTTTTAAATATTTCGATTTTTCAATTTTTGACTTTTATAAACTCTTTATTTGTCGATTTTTCAATTAATTGATTTTTCGGGTTTTTTGGTTCTTCAATTTTTCTATTTTTTCAGGTTTCGATTTTTCAAATTCACTTTTTTGATTTTTCGATTTCTCAATTTTTCAATTTTTTTAATTTCTCGGTTTTTAGACATTTCAGTTTTAGGATTTTTCAGTTTACTTATTATTCAATTTTTCGATCTTACGATTTTGCAGATTTTTGATTTTTCAATTTTTCGATTCTTTAGATTCTCAGTTTTTGGATATTTCAGTTTTGGGATTTTTCAGTTTTTCGATTCGTCAGTTTTTGTTTCATTTTTCAGTTTTTCGATATTTCAGTTTTGGGATTTCTCAATATTTCTGTTCTTCGACTTTTCCATTTTTGACTTCTGGATTTTTCGAAGTGTCGACTTTTTACTTTTTCGATTTTTAAATTTTAGATTTCTCAATTTTTTTGTATTTTAATTTTTCAATATTTAAAATTTTAGATTTTTCTATTTCTCGATTTTTCATTTTAGCTCTTCCATATTTCAATTTTTCAAATGTTTCGATTTCTTAATCTTTCGATTTTTCGACTTTCCGGTTTTAGATTTTCTGTTTTTCAATTGTCGTTTTTTCAAATTTTCGATTTTTCAATTTTTCAAATTTGACATTTATAAACTGTTAATTTTTCGATTTTTCAATTAATCGATGTTTTGATTTTCCCATTTCTTGACTTTCGAGGGTTTCGATATTCCCGTTCAATTCTTTAATTTTTCGATTTTTCAGGTTTTTGATTTTTCATTTTTTAGTTTTTGTAAGGTTTCGATTTTTCGACTTCACTTTATGGATTTTTCGATTGCTCAATTTTTTGACTTTTTAGGTTCTCAGTTTGTGGATATTTCAGTTTTCGGATTTTTCAGGTTTTTCCATTTTTTAGTTTTACTTTCATTTTTCAGTTTTTCGATATCTCAGTTTTGGGATTTTTCAACATTTTGATTCTTCGACTTTTCGATTTTTGACTCCTGGATTTTTCGATGTGTCGATTTTTTTACTTTTTCGATTTTTCAATTTTTGGATTTTTAAATTTTAGATTTTTTAATTTTTATAGTTTTAGATTTTTCAATTTCTCGATTTTTCATTTCAGTTCTTCGATATTTCAATTTTTCAAGTTTTCGAATTTTTCAGATGTTTCGATTTCTTAATCTTTCGAATTCGCAGTTTTAGATTTTCTGTTCTTCACATGTCATTTTGTCAAATTTTCGATTTTTTAATTTTTCAAATTTGACTTTTATAAACTCTCAATTTTTGGATTTTTCAATTAATCGATGTTTTGATTTTCCCATTTCTTGACCTTCGAGTGTTTCGATTTTCCTGTTCAGTTTTAGGATTTTTCAATATTTCAATTCTTCGACTTTTCTATTTTTGACTTCTGGATTTTTCGATGTGTTTTACTTTTTCGATTTTTCAATTTTTGGATTTTTAAATTTTAGATTGTTCAATCTTTTGATATTTTAGTTTTTCAATATTTCTAAGTCTTTCGATTTTTCGATTTCCTGGTTTTAGATGTTCTGTTTTTCAATTTTTCGATTTGTTAATTTTTCATTCCCGATTTATCGAGATTTGATTGTTCACGTTTTCGATTTATCAGTTTTTCAATTTTTTATTTTGGCCTATTTCGGTTTCTCATTTTTTCCAGTTTTCCATTTTTTCGTTTTTTTATTTTTCCGCTTTTCCAATTTTTCAACTTTTAACTTTTTGTTTGTCGATTTCTCTATTTTTCAATTTTTCGACTTCATCACTTTTCGATTTCTCGTTCTTTGATCGTTCAATCTCTCAATTTTTCAATTTTTCGAATTTTAAGTTTTTTGATTTCTCGATTTATCGAGATTTGGATTTTCCGATATTTTGATTGTCAATTTATAAATCGTTCAATTTTTAACTTTTCGATTTTTCGATTTTGGCCTATTTCGGTTTCTCAATTCTTCGACTTTTCGACTCCATGATTTCTTGATCTTTTGATTTTTCGATTTCTCGGTTTTTCGATGTTTCGATTTTTCAGTTATCCGACTTTTTAAATTTTAGATTTTTGAATTTTACATTTTTTCGATTTTCTGATGTTTCATTTTTCGATTTTCAGTTCTTCGATGTTTGGATTTTTCAATGTTTCGGTTTTACGATTTTTCGATTATTAGATTTCTCAATTTTTCAAATTTTCGATTATTTTAATTTTTCATTTTTTTTTCTCACTGTTAATATCATACAGTGTATTGAAAACAACCACAAAAATTGTTGAGGACTCCATTGTCAATAAGGGTGGTTTTGCAAAATCAGACTGTATGTCGCATCTATATTAATCTATGGTACAGTTGTTTTAATGTTGGAATATGATCCTGAAAATCAGGATTTTTCCAGTTTCTAACGAATAATCATCGACACTGTGACTAACACAAACACATGACGTCCTGGAATTAGATCTTGGCTTCCATACAATCGTTTTATTTTTTTGGAAGCTCTTTCGGTATAGAAATAGGACATGTTTAAAAGGGATGTAGTTTTACAGGATCCCCAGTGGCCCCAGCCCAGAATTAACATTTCAGACACTACTTTTATAAAATTTACACATTACGTTCCAATTGCTATAATACATTGACTGGTTACTATAAACATGTGAAGCGTATATACAAAGTACACGTCTATAAAGAATAAATCAACGACTTGTTGCCCAAAAATCGCCTATACACAAATAATTACAACTCATGAACAGAAAAAAAAAACCGATAAAATGAACCTGGCCCCTTCGAAGGAGTTTTGATTGCGTCAACATTTTGATTATACTTGCTAAGTACATACGATAGTGTAAAAACTTGTCAAAATCATCTCAGTCTTATCACAATAAAAATCCGACCGTCAACATGCTAAACGTAGTCAGAAGCGACATCATCCTCTTGTCTGCAGAACGTCATCGACAGAGTTCGACAGACGTTCGCCGCCACTCAGGCATACGACGACTCCTTCCCCAGAGTACTGGCCGTACTCGATCGACTCGTCGTCTTCAAGTCGTTCGTCAACGACCGATTGTTTGCCAGGAAAGTGCTCACCGACTCGTCGGAACTGTACGTATCTTGTTCGCTGCAAAAATCGAAATTTTGGTTCAAGGAGTTTTAGGGTTTTTGTTTTTTGGGTACCTGTCGGAGATGTCCGACGTGGTGTTCTCCAGTTCGCCTTGGATCGCGGCTTGTAGATCTTCGATACGTTTCAGCGCCAACTTCAGGTCGGTTCGCGTCGTCGAGGTTTCCGTCTCGAGAGCTTCGTATCGCTTTTCTAGTTCCTTTTTCTTTTGGATCACTTCTGATTCTTTCGTCAGACTGTTGTTTAGCTCTTCTTTTACTTCTCGGAGGTTTCGTTGTAGTTTTCTGATCTGGTCTTGGCTTTGCTGTTCGCGCACGCGCGCCGTCGCCAGTTCAGTTTGGAGTTTGTCGACTGCCTCCTTCAGACGGGTGATTTGTACTTCGAGACGGCTCTTCGTCGTTTGTTCCAGTTCCAGTTTTGATTCCAGTTCTTTGACTTTTAATTCGGTTCTAAAACAATATAATAAATTTAACAGTCAAAGTAAACCAGTGTTGCCAACACGATTTTTGTTACCTTTTGACCAACAAGTGCGACGACGCGTCGCCCATGCTCTCCACAGACTCCAACTTGGTGGTCAACTCCGCCAGCTGCTCCTTCAGCTGGTTTCGCTCCACTTCCAACTCCGACACGAGCGACACCTGCTCCTGGAGTGCGATCTGATCCAGCGACATCTGCTGCACCGCCGCCTTGTACTTCTTCAGAACTTCCGCCAACTCCTCTTCGTTCTCCTCCAACTGGTTCTGCAGGTCGCTCTTCTCCCTACTCAACGCCGTCACCTTCTGCTCGGCGTCGTGCTTCATCCTATTCGCCTCTTCCAGCGCCCCTTGTGTCTCCGACAGGTCCGTCTCCAGACTCTGCTTGGTCTTCACGGCCACCGCCCTGGCGCACTCCAGGTCCTCCAGCTGGTTTCTCAGCTGCCGGATCATCGCCTTCCCGGGATTGTCCGCTTTCTGCCTCTCCAGCTGCGTTTGCGTGTCCCTCAGCAGCACCTTCGTCCTCTTCAGGTCTCGTTTCAGCCTCTGCAAGAGCGCTTCGTCGCCCGCGCGGTCGTTGCGCTCCATCTCGGCGGCGGCGGCGAGCCGCCTCTCCAGTTCGTGTTTCTCGCGTAAAAGCAGAGTGCGCTCTTCGTGCTCGTTCTCCAGCTGCGCCTCCAAAGCTTTGACTTTTTTCTGGGCGTTGCAGCGGACTTCTTCGAGCTCTTCGTCGCGCATTTGGGCTTCTTTTTTCGATTCCTTGCGCATGGACTCTAGGGACATCTCGAGGCGCAGCTTGGCTTGCTCGAGGAGTTGCACTTGTCCGGCGAGCTCATCGAGCTCTTCCTCTTGGTCCTGGAGGCGGCGTTCGCAGTCGATTTTCTGGCGGCGCAGAAGTGTCACCTCCTCTTCGGTTTTACCGCCGCAGGTGATTTCGTCCAGCTCGCGCTGCAACGAATTGAGCTTCTCCTCTTTCAAGTCGAGCTCCAAACGGGTGTCCTAAAACCACCAATTGTCAAATTATAATTGTTATTAAAAAATTAACACCGACTCACCGCTAACGTGCTCTCGATGGCGTACTTCTCCGCCACGATTAATTCCTTCTCCCTCGCCAGTCTCTCCTTCGCCTGCTTTTCCTTCTTCAACTCGTCCTGCAGCGACTGAGTCTCCGAATCAAACTTCCTCTGTTTCTTCTCCAGCAAGTTATTTCTGGCGCTCTGTTCTTCCAGCAGCAGTCTCAAATCGTTCATTTCTCCGTTCAGTTTCTGCACTTTGCGTTTCCACTGTCCGACGACTTGTCTTTGCTCCTCCACTTCCTCATACGCATCCGTTAACTACAACAACGAACACAGTTAAATTCAGTCAACACCAAGTTAATTTTTCGACGCACCTTTTTCTCCAGCTGTTTCTTCAACCCCACCAACTGCTCCAAGTCGTCTTCGTGCTGCTGCTGCAACCGGCGCTTCGTGAACTCCAGCTCCCTGACGGCTCTTTCGTAGCGCTGCTTGTACATTCCGCCGTCGACGTCGGCGTCTTCGTCCTCCTCGGAGATGCCGTTCAGGTCCGATCTGGCATACAGGAGCTCCATCTCGAGCCGTTCCGACGACTGAGCGAGCTCCTTGTTTTTGTGCTGGATTTCGGACAGTTCGCGCTCGAGGCGGATCCGCTCCGACGTCTCGGCGTCCAGACGCTCGGTGGCCAGAGTCGAGGTGGAGTGTTCTTCGGCCAAGTCGGCCGTCATTTCGCTCAGCTGAACAAAACAATACAATTACTGTTACGTCAAAATGACTAGACTGACGGTTTTTCACGAAAGGATGGATTTTTAAACAGGAAATTTCGTTAGAGCCTTGACGTATTATGTCGTATTATAAAAGTCAAATTTTGAAGGGCTGCAAGAATTTTTTAAATTATTTTTTCTCAGGTTTATGAACAGTTTTCAACAACGTGTCATAGAGTTAGTTGGCCATTTTTTCAGCACCCTGTATAATTTTCTCTCACTTGATATTTTAAGTATTTTACTGTTGAAAGAAAACTACGTAAGTTACAAAAAGAAAGTTAAAGAATGGGCCCCACCCACCCGCCCCTATCTCAATTGTGATGAATTTTTTATTCGTTACGAGATTGAGGGGCGGAGCTTAACTGCAAAGTCTATATGTTTGAGGCATAATCGTATTATAAAAAATTGACTATTTTGAGAAAAAAAATAGGGAATGAATATTCTTATTCTCTCAAAAGCAAAAGGAGATCGAAAGAAGCAGAAGAAACCTAAAACATTTTACCACTAAATACTTAACTGAAACCTAAAAGTTGATGATAATTTTGTTTTTCAATAATACCTGTGTGTCGAAGTTATCCCCAGTGATTTTCATTGTACGTACCGCCACTGAAAATTTGATTGACAAAGACAAACAACCAAAATCTACAGGTGTACTCTCTCTTTCTAACTAAACATGTGTCCACACTCTTAAAAACGCCATAATACGTCAAAGCACTCAAAGTTTCGTCAAACTTCTTGAGCATCATCATGAAATATCGAGAAAGCGTGCGTTCGCCGTTCGGTGCGGTAATCGAGCCGCTTATTTTTAACCGTTGAGAAAAATCGCTTTTACCGCAACCTGAACACAATCGCCTCATCTTAATTTCTCAGTTTTTTCAATTTTCCAATTTTTCGTTTTTTTGATTTTTCCGCTTTTCCAATGTTGCAACTTTTAACTTTTTGTTTGTCGATTTCTCTATTTTTCAATTTTTCGACTTCATCACTTTTCGATTTCTCGTTCTTTTGATCTTTCAATCTCTCAATTTTTCAATTTTTCAAATTTTTAAGTTTTTTGATTTCTCGATTTATCGTGATTTGGATTTTTCAATTTCTCAATTTTTAATTTTTCAATTTTTCGATTTTAGCCTATTTCGGTTTGTCATTTCTTCGACTTTTCGACTCCACGATTTCTTGATCTTTTGGTTTTTCGATTTTTCGGTTTTTCGATTTTCCAGTCTTTCGGTGTTTCGAGTTTTCAATTATCCGATTTTTTAAATTTGGGGGTTTCGATTTCTCGATTTTTCGTTATTCGGTTTTTAGATTTTAGATTTTTGAATTTTACATTTTTTCCATTTTCAGTTCTTCGATATTTCGATTTTTCAATGTTTCGGTTTTACGATTTTTTAAGGTTTCGATTTTTCTATTATTAGATTCCTCAATTTTTCGAATTTTCGATTATCATAAAAACGAAAAATTGAAATAAATGAAAAACTGAAAATTAAAATTCTGATGGAAAAGACTAAAAAATTGAAATATTGAAAACTCAAGAAATAAAGAAACGGAAAAATCGAAATACAGAAATTGTAAAACTAAATCACTGAAAAATTGAATTGTTAAATTATTGCAACATTTAAATAAAAATTGAAATTTGGAAAAAATAGAGAAATTAAAAAAATTAAAAATAGAGAAATTGAAAATTGAAAAATCGGAAAACAGCGAATTTGAAAATTGAAAAATTGGAAAACAGCGAATTTGAAAATTGAAAAAACGGAACGTAGAGAAATTGAAAATTGAAAAATCAAATCACTGAAAAATCGGAATGAAAAATCCAACAATTGAAAAAATAAAATTTGAAAGATGAACAATTGAAAAATATAAAAAATTGAACAATTAAAAATTTAAAAATTGAAAATATTCAAAACTTGAAGAATTGAAAATATTCAAAACTCGAAGAATTGAAATATTTAAACAATAGAGAAACTTACGAAAAGAAAATCAGAGCAACTGAAATTGAAGAATCGCAAAATCCAAAAATTGAATAATGAAAATATTGAAAAATCGAAAATTTGAAGAATTGAAACACTAAATTAAAAATAAAATTTTAAAAATATAGTGAAAATAAAAATCGGAAGATAGAAAAATTGAAAAGAAAAATCCAAAATTGAAAAAAAAAACTTGAAAAGTCGAGAAATTTAAAAAACATTAGAAACTGAACAATTGTAAATCTAAAAATTGAAACTACTGAAAAATCGAAATTACAAAACTGAATCACTGAAAAGTTGAATCGTTAAATACATATTGCAACATTTAAATAAAAATTGAAAATTTGGAAAAATAGAGAAACTAAAAAATCGAAAAACAGGAATTGAGAATTGAAAAATCGAAACACTGAAAAATCGGAATGAAAATCGAAAAGTTGAAAAAATCAAATTTTCGATTTTTCAATATTTAAAAATCGAAAATTTGAAGGATTGAAACACTGAAAAATTTAATCATTTAAATTAAAAATAAAATTTTGAAAAAATAGAGAAAATAAAAATCGGAAGACAGAAAAATTGAAAATTAAAAAATTGAAAAGAAAAATCCAAAATTGGAAAAAAAAAACTTGAAAAGTCAAAAAATTTAAAAAACATGAAAAACTGAACAATTGTAAATCTAAAAATTGAAACTACTGAAAAATCGAAATGAAAAACCGAAACGAAAAATCAAAACAATGAAGAATTGATAAAACAAAATGTTTTGGCTTTGAGGCATAGCACATAACTTCAAAAATAAAAAAATCAAGAGAAACATAAAAAAAAAAATTCAAGAAATTGCACAATCGAAAAACTGTACAATCGAAACTTTAAAAAATCGAAATATTTAAAAATTGAAAAACTGGTTAATTGAGAAATTGTAATTTTAAGTCGACAATGGCCTGAGGGCGCTCTGGTCTGTAGATCAAACAAGTTCTCAGGCGACGAGTTGTAGTGAATCAAGTTTTTTTATTGGCATCGACTATTTAAATTTGGCGCTTGCCTTTGGCGGTTGAGGACTCCAATGTCAATAAGAGTGGTTTTGCAAAATCAGCCTGACTGTCGCATCTATATTAACAGAGATAACTTCGAGGTGTGCAACTGTGTGTAAATTTTTACTCCTAACAACTTAGCTGGGCGATTGTAATCTCAAGTGAAAGTAGATGGCGCTGTTAGCGTCTTACCGCGAAGATTTTGAAATTTGATTGCTCTCAAATTTTGAAGGGCTGCAAGAATTTTTTAAATTATTTTTTCTCAGGTTTATGAACTGTTTTCAACAACGTGTCATAGAGTTGGTTGGCCATTTTTTCAGCACCCTGTATAATTTTCTCTCACTTGATATTTTAAGTACTTTACTGTTGAAAGAAAACTACGTAAGTTACAAAAAGAAAGTCAAAGAATGAGCCCCACCCACCCGCCCCTATCTCAATTGTGATGAATTTTTTATTCGATACGAGATTGAGGGGCGGAGCTTAACTGCAAAATCCTATATGTTTGAGGCATAATCGTATTATAAAAAATTGACTATTTTGAGAAAAAAATAGGGAATGAATATTCTTATTCTCTCAAAAGCAAAAGGAGATCGAAAGAAGCAGAAGAAACCTAAAACATTTTACCACTAAATACTTAACTGAAACCTAAAAGTTGATGATAATTTTGTTTTTCGATAATACCTGTGTGTCGAAGTTATCCCCAGTCATTTTCATTGTACGTACCGCCACTGAAAATTTGATTGACAAAGACAAACAACTAAAATCTACAGGTGTACTCTCTCTTTCTAACTAAACATGTGTCCACACTCTTAAAAACGCCATAATACGTCAAAGCACTCAAAGTTTCGTCAAACTTCTTGAGCATCATCATGAAATATCGAATACGCCCGCGTTCGCCGTTCGGTGCGGTAATCGAGCCGCTTATTTTTAACCGTTGAGAAAAATCGCTTTTACCGCAACCTGAACACAATCGCCTCATCTTAATTTAAAAACAGTGTCGCACACGTCCGCGAATAATGTCGGCCGTAAAAAATACGTAAAATTAACGTCGCCGCATCAGTTTATCAGGTTAGGCGGTCACGAGTGATGTGGACCGACGAAAATATTACAGTATGTTTTGTTCGCTCGTGCCGCACCAGGAAGCGCGCTATCGCTACGTCGAATTAAATTAATGTTCCTCACTTCGGAAATAGACATCTGCACGTTGATCGTTCGCACTCTTCGCGCCGAAAATACAAAGTAAACTGGCGAGAGGATTTTTTTTCTTAGTTCCTGGTCTTTTGTTTGCGATGGCTCTGGCACGGGTTTCGATGAGATGGCGTGTTCTTAGGGCGATCACCCAGATTTATTGGCGATAAATATGAGGAAAAATCCTAGCGCCACGGCGAAGGCCTCGAAGGCGTTTTCTGCCAACTGGTTAAGTAAACACGTGCGAGCTTGTGATTTATGATAATGGGAAAATTTTCTTAATTGCTGTAATCTGCGCTGATATTCCATTTGCGCCGGTTAATACGGTCTTGTCGTTAAAAGAGTAAATGCGTTATTGGCAGGCGGCCACGACAGCTGATTGGTAACGTGAGAAGTTTTCGATTTATTTATTATTCGTGTTGCACGATTATTTTTACATTGTTTAAAAGTTAAATGGATTTCGTTTTTAACAAAGCGGCGCGGGAATTGGCGGAAGACAATGTGTACGGGGTGTCCTAGTTTACCTGTTCCACTTATTTGAAAGGACAGAAGTTTGAAATATGGAACGGATCATTAACACGAGGAATGTATGAACACAAATAAAATAAAACACGATTGGCCCCTTCTGTTTTGTTTTTAAAAGAATTTAATAAAATCGTTGGGTCCTCTGGTCTTTTTTTTTAATATCAAAGAATGTTGAGAACCCCTCGTGGTTTGTTATTGAAAGAATAAAAAAAAAAAAAAAAAAATCGAAGTGTTTCCTAATCTTTTTATTTTTTGAAAAAAAATCTTGGACTACTTGGGTCTTTATTTAAAGAATATTATTAAAGAATCTCGGAAACCCCAAATGTTTCTTCTAAGAATACCAAAGAAACTTGAGGATCCCTTGTATTTTGTTCTTGAAAGAAAAAAAAAGTCGTGTCCCCTATTTTTTTGATGGGAAAGAATCTTGGGGTGAAGGAAATTGGGTCGAAATTAGATTAGACACTGCGTTCTTCAAGTGGTTTGTAGTTTCGATTCTCGTTAAGTTTAGCAGTTCTAAAAATTACACCAAATCGCCACTTAAAAACTGTCAAAAAAAAGGTAACATTCTAGTTCTTCTAATTCTTGTACTTAATTATGTTAAATCAAAATTGTCTAATCAGGGTTACCATTCCGGCCCCGAGAACAACCCCAAACCACGCTACCTCGTCAGCTTCGCCCTCCGTGCAGTCGTCCATCGAGAAGTCCCTCGCCACCGACGACCGACTGCAGCTGCTCGACCTGCTGTATAACTGGAACCCCTTGATCAAAATATTCGTCGCACTCCTCGACCTGCCGGCCCTCTGCTGCGCCGCCCTCCGCGCCTCGTACAGCCCCTCGTCCCTGTGCCCCATCCGCCGCCACTCGTCCATCACGTGGTCCGTCTTCCTCAGGAAGTTCGCGATCTTGCTCGTGAGCGCGTTCGAGGCGGTCTGCGCGTCCTCGTGGGCCGGCACCGCCGTCACGTTCTGCCGCATCCTCCCCTTGCACCCCAGCACGAACGTCAAGTTGGCGTCGAACACCACCGGCGACTCCTCGCGCCCGTTCAGCTCTTCGGTCCGCGCGCGGGCGCCCACCTGCGGGAACACCCTCCGCGGCGCGCTCCAGGACCTGGTGCTGCCGGTGGAGCTCGGCGACGGCGAGCGCGACACCACCGTGAGGTTGCGCAGCGGGCGCGTGTGGAACATGAGCGAGGGCGGGTCGGCGAAGCCGCGGCGCACGGGCGTGAAACGGCGGGGCGGCGCCGGGGGCGGCAGGCCCGCCAAGCTGGACGACGTGCTCAACGGGAAGGAGGCGTCGCTGCCGCAGCTGGAGGAGCGGAAGAAGGACGATGTGGAGAAGCTGGACGGCGTTACCGGCATTGTTTTTTTTTGTTTTTGGTTTTTTTTAGACGTGGACGCGGCGAGGAGCGGGTTGCTACTGGCGAATTGTCGTGTGTGTGATTTTAAAATAACGGGATGGAGGAGCGCGAACGACGGCTGGATGCTGCGAGGTGGTTAAAATTAGAGCGATTCATTCTTGATGCTTGTTGTTAAAGCGAGAAGTATACGTGATATGGAGGAAAGTTGGTGGTTTCCGGGGTCTGTGACGGGTTGGTTTGGATGACGTCAGAGAGTTTTTCCCGTGGATGCATTCGATGCATTTGAATTAAATAGTTGCGTTACTTCGAATGAATTTTTCTTCTAAATATTTTAAATAAATTTTCGGTATATTTCAAAGTGAAAAGAATTATTTAGTAGGTGATTCAATGTTGACCTCTTTCCAAATCCAAAACTAAAAAAAAAACACAGCGAATTTTTGAGAATTTCGAAAAATTTCGATATTTCAACGGACGATTCTGGAGTTATCAAAAAAACGCGACCGGAAGTGATTTCTGCGACTCGAAATCTACAAGAAAATGTATTTAGTTAAGTTTCGAAAATGTCAAAATTTGGCCGAAATGTGAAGAAAACATTTGGAAAATTTTCACTTTTCAAAAAGTTGTCCAAAAATTCTGAAAAAATTCAGGGACGTAGATCTCGACATGCCGATTCCAAAAATATAGGGTGTTGATGGTCACGGATCAACATTTTCGAAGGGACCGCTACGAAATGCGAATTTTTGAGAATTTCTAAAAATCTCGATATTTCAACGGTCGATTCCGGAAAAACGGTTGCAGTTATCAAAGAAACGAAGCCGGAACTGAGTTCTAGAGCTCGAAATCTACAAGAAAATGTGTTTAGTTGAGTTTCGAAAATGTCAAAATTTGGCCGAAATGTGAAGAAGGGGGGACCATTGGAAAAATTTCACTTTTAAAAAAGTTGTCTAAAAATTCTTAAAAAATTCAGGGACGCAGATCTCGACATGCTGATTCCAAAAATATAGGGTGTTGATGGTCACGGACCAACATTTTCGAAAGAATCGCTATGAAATGCGAATTTTTGAAAATTTCTAAAAATCTCGATATTTCGACGCTCGATTCCGGAAAAACGGTTGCAGTTATCAAAGAAACGAGGCCGGAAGTGAGTTCTAGAGCTCGAACTCTACAAGAAAATGTGTTTAGTTGTGTTTCGAAAATGTCAAAATTTGACCGAAATGTGAAGAAGCGAAAAATTTCACTTTTCAAAAAGTTGTCAAAAAATTCTGAAAAAATTCAGGGACGTAGATCTCGACATGCTGGTTCCAAAAATATAGGATGTTGATGGCCCCGGAGCAACATTTTCGAAAGAATCGCTACGAAATGCGAATTTTTGAAAATTTCTAAAAATTTCGATTTTTCAACAGACGATTTTGGAAAAACGGCTACAATTATCAAAGAAACGAGGCCGGAACTGCGTTCTAGAGCTCGAAATCTACAAGAAAATGTGTTTAGTTGAGTTTCGAAAATGTGAAAATTAGGCCGAAATGTGAAGAAGGGGGGACCATTGGAAAAATTTCACTTTTAAAAAAGTTATCTAAAAATTCTGAAAAAATTCAGGGACCTAGATCTCGACACGCTGATTCCAAAAATATAGGGTGTTGATGGTCACGGATCAACATTTTTGAAAGAACCGCTACGAAATGCGAATTTTTGAGAATTTCTAAAAATCTCGATATTTCAACGGTCGATTCCGGAAAAACGGTTGCAGTTATCAAAGAAACGAAGCCGGAATTGAGTTCTAGAGCTCGAAATCTACAAGAAAATGTGTTTAGTTGAGTTTCGAAAATGTCAAAATTTGGCCGAAATGTGAAGAAGGGGGGACCATTGGAAAATTTTCACTTTTCAAAAAGTTGTCCAAAAATTCTGAAAAAATTCAGGGACGTAGATCCCGACATCCCGATTCCAAAAATATAGGGTGTTGATGGTCACGGATCAACATATTCGTAGGAACCGCTACGAAATGCAAATTTTTGAGAATTTCTAAAAATCTCGATATTTCAACGGTCGATTCCGGAAAAACGGTTGCAGTTATCAAAGAAACGAGGCCGGAACTGAGTTCCAGAGCTCGAAATCTACAAGAAAATGTGTTTAGTTGAGTTTCGAAAATGTCAAAATTTGGCCGAAATGTGAAGAAGGGGGGGACCATTGGAAAATTTTCACTTTTCAAAAAGTTGTCCAAAAATTCTGAAAAAAATTAGGGATGTAGATCTCGACATGCTGATTCCAAAAATATAGGGTGTTGATGGTCACGGATCAACATTTTCTTAGGAACCGCTACGAAATGCGAATTTTTGAGAATTTCTAAAAATCTCGATATTTCAAAGGTCGATTCCGGAAAAACGGTTGCAGTTATCAAAGAAACGAAACCGGAACTGAGTTCTAGAGCTCGAAATCGACAAGAAAATGTGTTTAGTTGAGTTTCGAAAATGTCAAAATTTGGCCGAAATGTGAAGAAGGGGGGACCATTGGAAAAATTTCACTTTTATAAAAAAGTCCAAAAATTCTGAAAAAATTCAGGAACGTAGATCTCGACATGCTGATTCCAAAAATATAGGGTGTTGATGGTCACGGATCAACATTTTCGAAAGAATCGCTATGAAATGCGAATTTTTGAAAATTTCTAAAAATCTCGATATTTCAACGGTCGATTCCGGAAAAACGGTTGCTATTATCAAAAAAACGAGGCCGGAAGTGAGTTCTAGAGCCCGAAATCTACTAGAAAATGTATTTGGTTAAGTTTCGAAAATGTCAAAAATTGGCCGAAATTTGAAGAAAAAAATTCTCAAAAAATTCACGACATGTTGATTCCAAAAATATAGTTATACAAATTTACACGAAATAGTGATAGTTTTATACAGATTTCCGTAAGGTGATTTTGATGTTTTTCTAAACGTTTTCAGATGATATTTTAGATGATCAATCATTTCAAAGTTGACCTCTTTGGCAATGAAAACCCAAAGAAAAAAAATCGAACACTTTTACTTCGAGAACAACAAAAGATAAATCGAAAATTGATTAAAAAACAAAATTCAAAAAACATGATGCGAATCTCGCCATGTAACCCATTTTTTAGTGCCACTAAACTGTTTTTTTACACATCGCCAAAAACACTCTCAGCTAATCCACACACCGGCGCTCACAAACAGACCCCGCCACATTAATCACCCAGAATTCCAAAACAAGCGTCCATACATCGATGAGTTTACTTTCCGAAATTCCTCCCAACCGCCATCAAAATTGTTGGTACAATCCCCGCCGATTTCGCATCCGCCCAAAACCACCGACAACAAAAAACAAAAATAAAGGTGTCCGTAAATCGGCTCTCGTCACGCCGAACGGTAAACGCCCATGCTCGTGCCACGCTTCCGCCACCGATATACAGTGCAGACGCAAAAACAAGCAACAAACGCGCTCTTAAAATTAGCGCCGCCGCCGTTTGGGCGCGCGCCAAAATTTCGAACCCGCGTTTATTTTTTTCCAGATTTTTCGACAACACGCCAACAACGCTGAATGATTGTCTTGCAACTGCAACGGAGACGTTTTGGGCGCTCGCCCCAAAAACTTGGCACCGTTGCCAAAATTACCGTCAAGGTCGTTGAACCGCCAAACCGAATTTCGATCTAGGAGTTTGGAGTGTGTGTCGTACCTTCGCTTCCAGTTTGTCGTTTTCGTGCTTCAGGGTCGTCCTCTCGCTCTCCAGTTTTTCGAGTTTCGTTTTGAGCGCTTCGAGTTCGTCCTGGAACGTGAGAAAAATTCAGGTGAGATGTGCTGGCACGTGCTGGGAAAAAATCGGCGCGGTGGGATTTTGGCACGGCGTTTAGTGCATAAATTTTCGATTGGACAGGTCAGGAATCGGATGGGGATCGTGACCCTGACCCTCCCCGGCTGAGTTGCGCTATTATCATAATCATAGAGGAGGCGTAGAAAGTGTGTCGGGCTAGAGATATTTGCTCAACCTTTTCTTGGAAAACTAACATCCACGAAAATGAGTTGTTTTGTATTAAAACATTACTTTTCTTTAAAATCACACCTCTTTGTAATCGAGTCCATCGGTTGAAATTGAAAAAAAAAAAAAAAAACAAATTGTGTAACAATTTTTCGAAATTTCATTTTTAGGACTTTTCGGTGATTTGGTTCTTCTATTTTTCGACTTTTCGATTTCTCTACAAAAAAATAATAATAAAAAAAAAATTACCGTCTTCATCCTGAGCTCTTCCTCGGTCCTGTGTACATTCAAAAGCGGCGTGACCCTCACCAGCAGCCGCCACCACGGCCAATCCCGAACCATCAGGAACTTCCTCACGTTCCTCTGGATGCAGCGCACCGCAAGATCTTGCAGTTTGCGCTGGGCGAGACGGCGTCGTGCCAAATAGCCCCGACAATGGGCTTGGAGGTGTACCACCATCCCGGCGAGCCGTTCGTCCCGCTGGGACTCCAGCTGGGACAGGACCCCATTGCGGAAAAATATCTGCAAGCAAAAACACACCGTTAGTCCAGGACAACAAAGTTGTTGCCAAAGAGTTTATTTTGGCTTTTAGCAGGGACACTCGGACGTATTTCTATGCTTTCGAATGGGTGATGTAACTATTGGCAATTGGTCCGATACATCCGCTTTTTTACTAATACTAATTGTTTGCCTATTTTTATTTGTCGCGAGATAATCGGAATTATTGTTGACCTATGCGTGTTTGTATTTCTTTTTGTGCGGTTGCCAAGTGTTACACTTGTGAAAGTACTTTGTTTTACTTGCGCAGCTCGTATTTTAAATTGGCGAAAGTAGACCGAATTTGTTACAATTGGAAGATTGATTAAAATTAAGTTATTTGATACGGGACGTCGACAATATTAATTCTTTGAATTTAGAATAACTTTATTGTAGCGATTCTAATTCATACGTACACTACACACATTAAACATACATTAATTCAGTTAAGTTCTAAAAATTGAAACATCGGAATATGGATAATGAGAAATAAAAAAACTTTAAAAATCGAAATGCAAAAAATCGAAAGATTCAGCAATTGAAACATGAAAAAATGTCGAGAAATAGAAACATGAAAAAAAACTGAAAATTCGAAAAGTCAAAATATTGACAAAATTAAGAAAATCAAAAAATTTAAAATTTTAAAAATCGAAAAACGGTAAAATCGAAATAGCCCAAATTTAAAAAATGGCAAAATTAAAAATTGGAAAACTGAAGAATTCGAAATAAAAAAAAAATCGAAAAATTGAAGAATTGAAAAACTGAAATTTAGACGCCAAAAATTGAAAAATCGAAAAATTGGAAACTCGTAAAACTGAACTATCGGTAAATTGAGAAGTGGGAAAATAAAAAAAATCGGGAAAGTGAACTATGAAAAGTTGAGTAAACGAAAAATTTTAAATCCTGAAATCGAAAAATCGTAAAGTTCCAAAATTGAAAAACAGGAAAATTGATTAATCGAAAATTCGAAGAAAAATTCACCAATCGGGATATTGAAAAACCTCAAAACTGAAACATCGAAAAGTCGAAAAACCGAGATAGTCACAATCACAAAATTAAAAATATTTTATAAGTTTAAATAAATGAAAAAAAAAAAAAAACTGATAAGTTTAAAGACTAATCGGGAAATTGAACGCTCGAAAAATTGAAAAATCGTAATCGAAACATCAAAAAAGTCGAGAAAAATAAAACTAAAGAAATCGAATAAAATTAGAAGGAAAATGAATCGAAAAAATTTAAAAATCCCAACACTAAAACATCGAAAAATTGAAATACCGAAAAATTGAGAAATTGAAGAATTGAAAAAGTGAAGAATCCCAAAAATGAAACATCGGAGAATTGAAAAATCGAAAAACGGAAAACCTGAAAAATCGAAAATTCAAAAACCAAAAATCGAAAAATCTAAAAATCAAAAACTCGAAAAATCGAAAAGTTGAAAAATCGAAAAAATTTAAAAAGCCCAAAACTGAAACATCGAAAAATTGAGAAATCGAGAAATTGCAAAATCGGGAAATCAAGTCGAAAAACCGAAATTTTAAAAAATCGAAAAATTGAAAAACTAAAAATCTGAAAAATCGAAAAATTGAGGAATTTAAAAACGGAAAAATAAAAAAATTTAACAATTGTAGAACTGAAATATGTATTGGTAAATTGAAAAATTGAAAAATAAAAAAAAAATCTGGGAATCGAAAAATTTTAAATCGTGAAATTGAAAAATTGAAAAAGTAAAAAGTCGAGAAATCGAAATATCATAATGATGAAAACCGTTATAATTGAATAATTAAAATATTGAAAAGTTCCAAAATTGAAATACAGGAAAATTGATAAATCGAAAGATCCAAAAACTGAAAATTGACGAATCGGAATATTGAAAAAATCCCAAAATTGAAAAATCGAAAGATCGAAAAAACGAAACATCAAAAAATCAAAAATTAAAAAATTGAAAAATCTAGAAAGTAAAAAATCAAGAAATCGAAAAATCGAAATAGCCCAAATTTAAAAAAAATGGCAAAATCAAAAATTGGAAAACTGAAGAATTCGAAATAAAAAAAAAATCGAAAAATTAAAAATATTGATTTTAAAATTTCGAAAGGTTGAAGAATTGAAAAACTGAAAAATCAAGAAGTTGAAAAATCAAACTTTAGAAAGTTTAAATTAAAAAAATCGAAAAATCAAAAATTTAGACGCCAAAAATTGAAAAAACGAAAAATTGGAAACTCGTAAAACTGAACTATCGGTAAATTGAGAAATGGGAAAATGAAAAAAATCGGGAAAGTGAACTATGAAAAGTTGAGTAATCGAAAAATTTTAAATCCTGAAATCGAAAAATCGTAAAGTTCCAAAATTGAAAAACAGGAAAATTGAAACATCGAAAAGTCACAATCACAAAATTAAAAACATTTTATAAGTTGAAATAAAAAAAAAACTGATAAGTTTAACGACTAATCGGGAAATTGAACACTCGAAAAATTGAAAAATCGTAAAATCGAGAAGTCAAAAAATGAAAAGATCGTGAAATCGAAACATCAAAAAAATCAGAAAAATAAAACTAAAGAAATCGAATAAAATTATAAGGAAAATGAAGCGAAAAAATTTAAAAATCCCAACACTAAAACATCGAAAAATTGAAATTCCGAAAAATTGAGAAATTGGAGAATTGAAAAAGTGAAGAATCCCAAAAATGAAACATCGGAGAATTGAAAAATCGAAAAATGGAAAACCTGAAAAATCGAAAATTCAAAAACCAAAAATCGAAAAATTCTAAAAAAACGAAAAATTGAAAAATAGAAAAGTTGAAAAACTGAAAAAACGAGATATCGAAACATCAAAAAATTGAAAATTGAAAAATCTAAAAATCGAAAATTAAAAAAATCGAAAAAGCAAAAATCGAGAAACCGAAAAATCGTAAAGTTGAAAAATCGAAAAAAAATGAAAAAGCCCAAAACTGAAACATCGACAAATTGAGAATTCGAGAAATTGCAAAATCGGGAAATCAAGTCGAAAAACCGAAATTTTAAAAAATCGAAAAATTGAAAGACCAAAAATCTGAAAAATTGAAAAATTGAGGAATTGAAAAATGGAAAAATCAAAAATCTAACAATTGTAGAACTGAAATATAGGTAAATTGAAAAATTGAAAAATTGAAAAAGTAAAAAGTCGAGAAATCGAAATATCATAATGATGAAAACCGTTATAATTGAATAATCAAAATATTGAAAAGTTCCAAAATTGAAATACAGGAAAATTGATTAATCGAAAGATCCAAAAACTGAAAATTGACGAATCGGAATATTGAAAAAAATCCCAAAATTGAAAAATCTAGAAAGTAAACAATCAAGAAATCGAAAAATTGAAATATGGAAAAACTGAGAAACCGAAAAAATAACAAAATCGAGAAATCGAAAACAAAAAAAAAAATTGAGAAATTGAAAATCGAAAAAGTCGAGAAATGGCAAAATAAAAAAATCGAAAAATCCAAAATTCGGAAACTCAAAAAATCGAAAATTTAAACGCCAAAAATTGAAAAATTGGAGACTCGCCAAACTGAAATACCGGAAAACTTTGAAATCGAAAAATAAAAAAAATCGGAAAATCGAAAAAATCCCAAAAATGAACTAACGAAAAATTGAGTAATCGAGAAATTTAAAATCGTGAAATTGAAAAATTGTGAATATGTAATCGAAAGATCGTGAAATCGTAACATCGAAAAAATCGAGAAAATAAAACTAAAGAAATCGAATAAAATTAGAAGGAAAATGAATCCAAAAAATTTAAAAATCCCAACACTAAAACATCGAACAATTGGAAATTCGAAAAATTGAAATACCGAAAAATTGAGAAACTGAAGAATTGAAAAAGTGAAGAATCCCAAAAATGAAACATCGGAGAATGGAAAAATCGAAAAACGGAAAACCTGAAAAATCGAAAATTCAAAAACCAAAAATCGAAAAATCTAAAAGTCAAAAACTCGAAAAATCGAGAAACCGAAAAATCGAAAATTTAGAAAAGCCAGAAATTGAAAATTCTAAAAACTGGGGACAAAAAAAATCGAAAAATCAAAAATTGTAAAAAACGAAAAATTGAAAAATTTGAAACTTGAAAAATAGAAAAGTCGAGGAACTGAAAAAACGAGATATCGAAACATCAAAAAATTGAAAATTGAAAAATCTAAAAATCGAAAATTAGCCCAAAATTGAAACATCGAAAAATTGAGAAATCGAGAAATTGCAAAATCGGGAAATCAAGTCGAAAAACCGAAATTTTGAAAAATCGAAAATCGAAAGATTCAAAAACTGAAAATTGACGAATCGGAATATTGAAAAAATCCCAAAATTAAAAGATCGAAAACACGAAACATCAAAAAATCAAAAATTTTGAGAAAAAATTAAAGAAACGAAAAACTGAAAAATCGTAAAACTGAAATATGGAAAAACTGAGAAACCGAAAAAATAACAACATCGAAAAATCGAAAAAAAAAAATTGAGAAACTGAAGAATCGAAAAACTGAAAAATCCCAAAAATGGAATTGAAAAATTGAGAAATTGAAAATCGAAAAAGTCGAGAAATGGCAAAATAAAAAAATCGAAAAATCCAAAATTCGGAAACTCAAAAAATCGAAAATTTAAACGCCAAAAATTGAAAAATTGGAGACTCGTAAAACTGAAATACCGGAAAATTTTGAAATCGAAAAATAAAAAAAATCGGGAAATCGAAAAAATCCCAAAAATGAACTAACGAAAAACTGAATAATCGAGAAATTTAAAACCGTGAAATTGAAAAATTGTCAATATGTAATTGAAAAATCGCAAAAGTAAAAAATCGAGAAATTGAAAGATCGTGAAATCGAAACATCAAAAACTCCAAAAATTAAAAAATTGACAAAGTAAAAAATCAAGAAATTGAAAAATTCCAAAATTAAAACATCGAAAAATAAAAAAATCTAGAAATCGAAAATTTAAAAAACTGAGAATTTGAAAAATCGAAAA